CACTCTGTAGCCCAGGCTGGCCTTGAACTCACAGAGATCCGCCTGGCTCTGCCTCCCGAGTGCTGGGATTAAAGGCGTGCGCCACCACCGCCCGGCAACAGTTCTTAAGTCTGATTAGAGATCTATTGGTTGCCACGGAGGTATGCACACCACTACTCATCATTGAGATAGGGTTAGGATGCCATGCTGATCACTGATATGCCATGGCGTCACAGCTGTGTAGGGCTGTTGGTTACCTCCTCCTGATGTCTTTTTATGTGAACACTAGTACTATTGGATTAGGGCTTGCCCTAGAGACCTATTTTACCTCTGTCCCTATTACAGTCATATTCTGGGTTGCTGGGGGTTAAAGTTTCAATGTAAGGGGGCACACATTTCAGTACCTAACAGTGTCTGTGAAATCTTGTGGGACTGATAGGTCCTATCATTGCCTCATTCAGTGGCTCTTCTCTGTGTTGTTTAGGGAACTGTCAGAAATACATAACAATCCCTAGGGCTGGCCTCTTTGTGGAGAAGCTGGTTTCTCCTCAGCCCTGCCATCTCCTCTCCTGGAGTCTTCGAGAAAGCCTGGCCAAGTGACCAGCCCTCCTGTACTTCTGGATTTATACTCTGCTGCAGTCAAATGTTAGACAGCGGACTCTGAGCCCTGGAGAGTGCTGTGCCTGAGTACTTCTCCTCAGCCCAGTACCCTGTGTCAGCCTGGGTGGGAAACAAGTCCTTAAAGGAGCTGACATTGTCCAGTGGGCTGCCATGCTTGGTTTTCTTTTAAAAACCTAAGATTTCTCTATTATTTGCCTCTAGACAAATAGGAGAGAACCTGATTGTTCCTGGTGGAGTGAAGACCATTGAGGCCAATGGACGAATGGTCATTCCGGGGGGCATCGATGTCAACACTTACCTGCAGAAGCCCTTCCAGGGCATGACCTCAGCTGATGACTTCTTCCAGGGCACTAAAGCGGCACTGGCAGGTGGAACCACAATGATCAGTGAGTGACACTTTCCCTGGCCTTAGGGATATGGGCTGTGAGTTCTCCTCTCACCATGAATACACACTGGTGTTTGGTGCACCAAGCCCTCTACTCAGGGTTCTGTGAAACTCCTCATCACACCCTGAGACAATAGATATAGATCACTGTGGTATGTGTCTCTTGTCTAGCATAAAAGGAGCTCAGACATATGGGCAGTAAACCTTTAAAAGCTACTTTACTGTGTATCAAGGTGAAATTGTTACCCATGTGTAGTCAGGTGGGGTGTTTGCAGGTTCTAGGCCTCTTATTCAAGGAATGGAAACAAAAAGTCCCACAGGTTTGCAAAAGTATCAAAGATATGTTATTCAAAACAGAGCTAGAGAACAGGTCAGAACACACTGCAGGAGACACCCAAGGGCCCTGTTATTGTCCAGGGCTTCTTTTTATGGGGGTCCAAAGAGTTTTGTTACTAAGGGCCATAGTGAGGGTGAGTCTATTTTGATTGATAGATTAGTTCACATAATTATTTTTCTATTGTACATATCCCTCCCCATAATGTATTTGATTCTAATCATATACACTCCCAGGCATGCACAGGCATAAGGTGGTAAATGGGAGATCCTCCCTAAAAGTTTCCTTTGAGAACATAGTTTGCCTTACTGTATATGCATCCCAAACCAGTTCAAGTTGGACAGGTCTTTCTGGCCACCTACCTGGGCATGACTGGAGAGCATGACTGAATAGAACCTAAGACTTGATGGTTGTTACGGGGAGGAAAAGCCTATTCCATTGTTCAGAGTATGCTTGGTGTCTTTTTTGTTTGTTTTTCTGTTTTGTTTTTTCGAGACAGGATTTCTCTCTGTAGTTTTTGGTGCCTGTCCTGGATATGTTATTCAAAATATAGACCAAAATTGTAGACCAAACTGGTCTTGAACTCACAGAGATCACCTGGCTCTGCCTCACCAGTGCTGGGATTAAAGGTGTGTGCCACCGCCGCCTGGCTGCTTGGTGTCTTTTTAAGAGAGAGGGAGGTACTCCCCATGCATGGCAGACCATTGCGGTCCCCCTGGACCTGGGATCCCCCCTGGCCTCAGTCTCTGCTCTCTGCTTTGCTTTAATTTGGATCTCGAGGCTTTCTTTAAAAAGGCAAGAGTTGGTTACAGTGAGCATTTGGTAAGCCCTTCAATTCCAGGCATCTCATTTTCCAGCTTCCCTGCATTGCATACAAGAGGCTGTGTAAGGCAACTGCCAGCAGAGTCATATGTTTGAAGTGCCAGAACAAGGAGGGTGTGGCTTGGCTGACAAGACAAGTCAGGGCTATGTCTTCTAACAAATAGCTCATGAATCCACTGGCTAGGAGAGTGGATGAAACCAGGCTTTGAACCAGAGTGAGCTTGGAATCAATCCTCAGAAACTGCACAGGGATGGACCAGGACTCAGCCTTGAGGAGCCTCAGCTTCCCTATCTGCAGTCCAGGCTTTCCAATGGAACTCCTTGTTATAGTCAGAGACTCGGTTCAGATTCCTAATGGTGGAGCCTGGTATCTATAGTGATGGAGATTATAGTGATGATGATAGTGATGATATCAATGGACACGATTTTGATGGTGATAAAGATGATAATAGTGTTAGTAGTGGTGTTGATATAAACAGACATAATGATGGGGTGATGGGGTGTTGATATTGGTGATGGTAGTGGTGATATTGATGTGGGCATGATTGTGACGATGATGATGGTAATGATGATGGTTGTGGTGATGATGGTAATGATAGCTTTCTTGGTTACTTGGATTTTTTTTTCCATTGCTGTGCTAAAGCAGCATGACCAAGGCATCTTATGAAAGAAAGAGTTAACTGGGCTTACAGTTCCAGAGGGTTAGAGTCTTTGATGGCAGAGCAGAAACATCTGAGAGCTCACATCTTGATCTGCAAGCAGTGGGCAGAGAGCACACTGGGAATGGGATGAGTATTTTGAAACCTCAAAGCCTGCCCCCTAGTAACACACCTCCTCCTAATGAGGCCATATCTCCTAATCCTCCCTAAACAGTTCTACCATCTGGGGACTGTGTATCTGAATACTCAAGTCTTATGCGGGACACCTCCTTCAAAGGACCACATTCCACTCCCTGGTCCCCAGAGGCTTGTGGCCATATTGTAATGAAAAATGCATTTAGTTCAGCTTCAAAACTCCTCATAGACTTCAAAATCTCTTCTGATAGTCAAGGCAATCAATCTCTTAACTGTAATCCCCTATAAAATTAAAAAGCAAATCACATACTTCCAACATATAGTGGCGCAGGATGTGCATTACCATTCCAAAAGAGAGGAATGGGGCCAGAGTGAGGAAATATTGGATCAGTGCTAGACTGAAACCCAGCAGAGCAAACTCGAATTCCTGTAGCTCCATGTCTTCCGTGTCTGACGTCAGAGGGCTTAGATGGCTCCACCCCTTCAGCCTGCTGACTGCAGCATACTCCTCTCTCTGTCTTGGGCTGGTTCCTTGGCAGGTATTCTGTGGCTCAGGCATGCCAACACCTTGGGGTCTCTAATTCAGTGCAGGCTTTACTTCCATAGCTTCACATGATGGCCTCTCAGGGCCGCCGTGCAGGGACTGTGCATGCCACACACATGACCTCAGTGGCTCTCCTTAACCTCAGAGGAAGGTTCCAGTCTCCTTTACTCCTGTACCTTCATGACTCAAGCCAGAGCCACATGGAAGACACTGCTAAGTTTAGCTGCCAATTTGGGGTACACCCTGGCCCCCTTGGATCACACTTGCAGCAGTTTAGATTTGTTGTTGCTTTTAAACCCCATCAGTCCTTTTCTTCTCTTGAGGTGAAGGCTTAGCTGGATGGGGTCTCAGGCACCCCTCCCTTTATTCCAATTCAGATCGGGCCTCTCCCTGACTTCCTCATGTCCTTGAGTAGAGGCCTTGGATCCAACATCAAATTTCCTGGTGCTCTTTTCACACTGCATACTTGGTTTTCTCTTTGCCCCACTTTCTCTTCTTTATTGTAGACTTGCCCAAGAGCGATTACTAATTACCACACGACAGAGTCAATATTAGACTGCCTTGAAGTCTCTTTCACCAAAGAAATTCCCCTACTACTTTTCACTTTAGCTTCAGGAAAATTCTTAGGACAACAGCAGATGACGGACAGATTCTTTGCCAAACTATCCCGGCAATGACCTGTAGCCTTGTGGCTGTCCAAGTCCTCGCTCCTCTTGAGCTGGGCCTCCACACTGCTGTCAGCACTGCTGTCTCCCACATGCTATTAGGATGGTGCATTCAACTCTGCTTACAGTGTTCATCTGCTTTTCTAGTCCCAAGTCTCAGTCATCCACATTCCTCCAAATAGCAACAGTGTCAGAGCTGTTACAGCAATTCCCCATGACCTGGTACCAGTTTCTATTGGTGTGATAAAATATCATGACCAAGGCACCTTATAAAAGAAAGTGCTTAATTGGACTTATGGCTCTAGAGTGTTAGTGTCCTTGATGGCAGAATGAAGGCATGATGGCAGGAATAGCCGAGAGCTTGAGTCTTGATGGCAAACAGGAGGCAAAGAACACACTAGAAAAGACAGAAGTTTCTTAAAACCACAAATCCTACCCCCAGTTACGTACCTCCTCCAACAAGCCACACCCGCTTACTCTTCCTCAAAGAGCCACCAAATGGGTAGTAAATATTCAAATGTCTGAGATTTATGGAGGACATCTCATTTAAACCATTACGGTGGTGATGGTGGTAATAATCACGGGCATGATGGTGGGAATATGTTGGTGGCTGTGGGTTATGATTGTGATGTTGGTTACGGTAATGGTGATAGTGGTGTGGGGGCTGATGGTGGTGATGGTTGTGGTGATGGTGATGGTGGTGGTGGTTGTATGGTGATATGGATGGGGATGATGGTGATAGTGTTGATTGATGATTGTGGCAATGATGGTAATATTGATGGGGTGAAGGTGATGTGGCCACTGTTGGAACAGCTTGGGTTCTAAGCATCATGACACATGTCTCTCTGTCTCAGTTGACCATGTTGTTCCTGAACCTGGGTCCAGCCTGCTGACTTCCTTTGAGAAGTGGCATGAAGCAGCAGACACCAAGTCCTGCTGTGACTATTCCCTTCACGTGGACATCACAAGCTGGTATGATGGTGTTCGGGAGGAGTTGGAAGTGCTGGTACAGGACAAAGGTCAGTGAAAGCCCCAAATGGGCCCTAGAATCCCTTCACCCTCTCTGTGAGCCCAGCACAGAGCCCCACACTTTTCAGAGTCTGTCCTGTACCCCATGAAGCTTTGAGGAAGCATTCCTAGCCCACAGAATAAGTCCTGTCTCTACAGCCTGCCGTGGGAGGCCTTTGCTGGTCTATCCTTACTCTTCCTGACACTTGTCACCATGGCTGCAGTCCCCTGCCACCTGCCTCACTGCTGGCCTCTGCTCGAGCCATTTTCTCCACAGGAATGTCCCTCTTCTGCCTGTCAAATGCTCTCTCTCCAGACCCAGCTCAGCAGAGCAGTTTCCCCTCAGCCTGTCATAACTGCTTTACTCCCTGAATACCTGAAAGCTGACGCTGGCCTTGTGGGGTACATCCTTTTCGTTGCTCTTTGTTTCTAGGACACTGGTTGTCTATCTGGCTCTGTGAGTAACTTTTGTGGCCATACATCTCTGAATCCTACCTGGCCCCCCTCTGTTCAGGCCCACACCAGGTGACCCTCCCCATCGCAGACATCTTCAGTTGTTCTTTGCATTGCGTGGAATGGGTCAGACAGACAGAAGGGAAGCACAGACTGGCAGAATAGAACAAGCCAGGACAGGAGTGGTCAGTTCAAAGGGTGCCTTCCAGAGAGCAAGTACCTGTACTGCAGGGCATGCAAGGGGTGCTGGGATACACTTTTAATATTTATAATACAGGCTATGTTTTCTCATTATAAAAGTATCGTTGCTTCTAATACATAAAGATCAGAAAAGCAAACATTTTTCCCTCTGGTTCTGCTTCTGATTGCAATGTGACATTAGTTAAGCATTTCTGCCTTCAATTTCCTGTCTATGTCAGCAACTTTTTCCCTTATATGGTGTGCAGTCGCTGTAATTTGGAATCTTTCTTTTCACTTAATGTTTTGTGAGTGACATTGCCCTCCACCAGTAGCTTTTTAATGGTGCTGTTTATGAAATGCAATGGCTAATTTGCTCAACTATTTTCTTTTTAGTGGGCATTTAGGTTTTCTGTTTGTTTTATTATAAATGGTGTTCCGGTGAGCATCTCCATACAAAAGCATTAGTTTGCAATTTTTATAATTTCCTTAGATGCTGAGAAATTAAATTATGAAATGTGAAAGCTTTAACATTTGCTGGGACCACAGCTCTTATGGCCAATTGATTTCTTGAAAGATGCTCCCATCCATGCAGGCATAGCTCACACCAGAGTCCCTGGCTCCTGCATGTTACACCTCTGGGTGCCATTGTATTTGTGATGCCCTTGCTAATTTCAAGCCAGGGTGTCATTGTGGCTTTTATCACACTTTTCCCAATCACTAATTATGCTCAATTTTTTGTGTGGGTTTTTCCCCGTGTGACTCTCAGATTGTCCCTTTTCCTTTTATCACAGATTCCCTGTGTCTGTGTGCCCTACTGGCAGGAAGGCATAGTCCCTCCATGGTGGCTTCCGTGACTCTTACTGTGCACACAGTCATCATAAGGGAACCTGCCATCATGATTTCACTGTCCTCACTCTGTGGTCTGAGTCAGGTTCTGTGTACCGAGAGGCTTGTGTATGTTTGTGACGGGGAGAAAGGACATGGGGAGGGCAAGGGAGTGAACCTAAGAGCTTGTTCCCCAAGACTGGAGAGCCAATTCCTTTTCTTGACTGGTGACTTGTAGGGACAACTCAAGGTTCCTGCACAGGGAGCCTGATCCTCTCCCTTCCTATCCCATGTCCTCCCCTCCTGCCCTCTCAACTCCCTGAAGTCCCTTCTGCCTCTTCTTAGTCAGTTCTGTTTTCAGCTGAGCTGTGCGCCCTGGGGAAAACCCTTCAGAGATGCCACGCTGGGTTTCCTGCCCACCCAGTAGCCCCTGGCCCAGCTCCATCGTGAATTATAGCACTCAGTGAGCCTGTCTTTCCCCAACCCAGACCATGAACTGAGGCTGGGAACTTGAAACAGTTAGCGAGAGAAAAGCATTATTTCTTTGCAATCGGAGAGGTTCCAGCCAAGACCAGTTGCTCCATTGCTGTGCCCATGGCAAGGCAGAACGTCATGGGGACCGTGTGGAGGGGCGGAGTCACTCACCTCCTCAGGAAACTGTGAGAGGAGAAAGGGGAGGGCACGGGGTGCGTCCTCTAGGAATGGATGGATGTCTGAGCCCTCAGGATCCAGTCATGACCCCCAAAGTCCACCAGCTGGCAGCCCGGCCCCCAGCACACGAGCACATGGGAAACCCATCACATTCAAACCATAGCGGAGAGCCAGTGTCTGAGTTTCCAGCTCACCAGATGAACCGGGATGTTGATGATGACAGTGACATTGCTTCTGTGTCCATGACTATATCGAGGTTCTATATTTTCAGAAGCGCCCCCCTCTACCAGGAATGCAGTCTCCTAACCCCCATATTTGTGCTTTCCCTCCTACGTGTACTAATTGCAATATTTTTACTTGAGTGTACTTGATTAGTCATTGACATTTTATACTAATCTTAGAGCACAATTTTCATTTCTAATTTTTCTGATTATTTTAAGAGAAGGAGTTTTTGTCACAGTGGTTTTCTACACACCAGAAGTCTCTGGCTTGTCTCTGTCACTGAGTGTAAAAGAAGACTCATCCCTTTTAATACTTTGCCGCAGACACTTTTTTTTTTTCTCCTTCTCCTAATGTTTTCATAGTTTACCTACAAACCTGAGTCACACATCACAGGTCCCAGATGAGCAAGGCAAAGTGATCCCTGAGGCATCCTTTGTCCTCAAACAGCTTGAAGAGGAATGAGAGACAAGCTCTCTCCTGTCTGTTCTGTGCTCCTCTAAACTGCCCCTCATGTTCAAGCCCTGTCCTTTCTGTCTTTTTAAATTCATGCCTACCTATGCTCTGCCTAGAGTCTTCAGCACCCTCCTCCTGGCAGGATTCCCCAGCCTTCCCAGGGCCCATGTCCTCTCTGCTCCCAAGACAGTCTGTCCATCACTGAATGTGCTCCATGGCACCCCCTAGTGGGGGAAGACTTATGCACTAGACCTAGCAGATGATTGCATGTTGTATGTGCCATGCACCAGAGTGTGGTTTGAACTAATTATGGCACTGGACGTCACCTTGTGTATTTGTATTACAATTAAAAAAATGTGATCAGGAAGCACATGCTCCTTTTGCTTCAGCTGGAGGAAGACACTTTCTAGAAAGAAGGTTATCCCTGCCATGCACCCCTCCCCCTTTGCACGGTTCCCAGTCTCTTCCTTTTCTACCCCCTTCCTCCTTCCTTTACCTTCAGATCCAGCTCAGGTTTGATCTTTCCCAGAAGGCTCCAAATACTGCCTACCACCCCTAGGCTGGGTTGGATGCCCTACTGTGGATCTTATGGCATCTTCTCTCCTGAGAGTTGCTACAGTGTACCTGGTCATTGACTTACTGCAAAGACCTTCATCTTGACTCAAATATGCTTTTCTTCATCTTATCTTGTGATAGGTGTCAACTCCTTCCAAGTCTACATGGCATATAAGGACCTGTACCAGATGTCCGACAGCCAGGTAGGCCCTGCAGCAAGCTTCTTCTTTTCACCTGTACAGGCTGGAACTAGCTGTGATGAGCAGAGAGACCTTTAAAGCCTGGGCTCAGGTCTCACTCCCAGCACTAAATGCAGTGTGCCCTTTGTCCCTCCTCTACTGTTGTTCCTACCCAGAGAGAGATGGTGGTTTGAAGCCTAGGATCCTTGGTGGGGTATCCCTCACATAGCCCTTCCCCAGCATTCTCTGGGCAGCTAATTAACAAGCAGCTGCTTAAAGCCCATTGTAGACATTCGGGAGTTGCCTTCTGCATATGTATGTACTGTCTGCAGGCTGGACAGTTTCCTTGGGGCTCAGGGGAGGCTGGGGACCATCGCACTTGGCTTTGCAGAGGCAAGCTGTGGCCTCCTTCAAGCAGCTGCAAGGCACTGAGGAATTCAGTCTGTTTTCTCATCAGAAGGATGTTAGATCTCTGGCCCAGGGTTCAAGAAACTGAAGAAGACACCACAGTGTGTTTCCAAGGGTGGGCTTTTCTGCTGGTACCCTCCTTCCACCATCGGATCCCCTCTAACTCCTAGAGAAAACTGTGGACACCAGTGCCAGCCTGCCATACCTTCTGCTTGCTGGGCAGCTGAGAACATCTTTCCCACCCTCTCTGGGCTTGAGGCTTATACTTTCCCCACCCTTACAGAGGTTGTCAGAGTGCTGAGTGATTTAATACAAGTGAAATCTAAGAATGGTTAGGAATTGCTCATTGGCTGTTACTGCAGAATTAGGCTGATGGTGGTGTTCTGCCCTCCAAAGAAGCACCTTGGAGCAGATAACAACTTATTTAGGATCCTCAAGGCCTTTGATGCAGACACCCAGAGTATCTAGAAGGAGGAAGTTGGTTGGGGCTCATGGAAGGTGGTAGTGTGTAACACATGGATGGAATTCTGACTGATGCTTCTTTCTTACATTGATACACTGAGGCCCCTGGTGTGGATGTCAGCTGTGGGCCTCAGGTTGGGGGTCTTCCAAGGTGCTTCCTGCCTCTGAGTCCCCCACCCCATGCCTGCATGCACGTGTCTTAGGGGCAGCAGTCTTGTTTGGCTCCACCCAACCTCCTGCCTCTTGATCTGGAAGACGGTGACCCACGGGGTCTGCAGAAGTTGCAGGAGTAAACAGAGGAGCAGCCTTTTAAAGACACGGATTGCTGCACCTCGGTTTCTCACCAGCCCCATTTCTCCTCTTTAGCTGTACGAAGCCTTCACCTTCCTTAAGGGCCTGGGAGCTGTGGTCTTGGTCCACGCAGAAAACGGAGACTTGATAGCTCAGGTGAGTGGTACAAGGTTCTCCTTCCTGCCATAAAGGGGTCCCCTTACAAAGTAGACCGTAGAAGAGGGGTACATTCTCTATTAGTGAAATGACTGGGTAGGGAAGGGTGGAGCTGAGCACTGGATGTCATACCACATGTGAAGATAAGAGATGTGTGCTTGTGTGCAGTGTGCCTACTGGAAAGGCGCTTGGCTTCTGGGACCTATTTTCTCCTCTGCATTGTGAGGTTCTGAACAAAACTGTTCTGCAAGTAGAGAAAGGGTGCCATTTGCATGCAGCATCTTTTTAAAAATGTGGATTCTGAGGGTTTTACTCATTCTCATGTTTGCACAGTTATCACTTTACCAACTGGGCCATCTCCCCAAGCTCCTTGTACTAGTCAGGGTTCCCTAGAGGAACAGAACATATGGAATGACTTGCACATTATATATGTTGTATATAGCATAGTAAGTCATATGAGTGGTTTAGATGCTGTGGTCCAGCTAGTCCAACGATGTCTATCTACCAAGGGAAAGCCCAAGAATCCAGTAGTTGTTCAGTCCAGGAGGCTGGATTCTCAAATGGTCTTGAGTACATGCTGGAATCCCCGAGAAGTAGGCTCTGATGCCAGTGAAGGAATGGACACACCAGGAAGAGTGAGGGCAAGCAGGCGAAGAGCAAAATCTTCCTTCTTCTGTGTTCTTTGTATAGGCTGCCACCAGAAGGTGTGGCCCAGATTGAAGGTGGGTCTTCTCCCTTCAGATGATTTCATAAAGAAAAATCCCTCGCAGGTGCACCCAGCTGCTTGGGTTCTAGTTAATTCTAGATTTAGTCAAGTTGACATCCAAACGTAGCCATCACACGTCTAGAAAGGCTTATTTTCGGTCTCTGTTCTGGAGATCGACAAGTGAGATGTTGGCCTCTGCTTGGCTTCTGAGGAGGGAGACTGACAGCTTCTTCCATCAGCAAACCGGAAGATGGGGAGAGAGCTTACCGGGGCATGAGGGAGGAGGCGGAGGACGGTGGTGGCTTGTCTAGTGACATCCTGCTTTAGAGGGAACTGACCCACTCCCCAGAAAGAAAGAGGTATAGTTCCGGCTCATAGTTCTGGAGGTCCGGGAGTGTGGTAACTACCAGGCTCTGAGGAGCTTCCGGTGAGGGCCCAGGCAGGTGTGGGGGAAACTCGGGAAGGAAAGCAGGTGTGTGCAGAGGTCTGGGTGCTGTGAAAGTCGCTCTTGTCAGAACGAGTCTCTTCCTGAGATGAAAGCCCACCCCACAGGAAAGCACCAGTATCTCTTGGTGCCCATCACCTCTTACCGGCTTTCTCATTTCCTAGCACCCCCACATGGGGGCCAGGCCACCACTGAGTTTTGAGGAGACAGGGCTTATGCTTCCCCTCGTCAGTTCCTGGAGTTCTAGAACAACACAGATACTGCTGAGGGCGGGCACAGGATGGACATGGACAAACGGAGGGGAGGGCTGGTAGAGTGGGAAGAGCAGCTGGTCACTCTCAGTCCACTGGCTGGCCTGTGGGAACCTCCTCATCCCTCATGGCCTCATCTGCCTCATGTCAAGCAGGGCCTGGAAGAGCGGCTCCTCTCAGCTCCCTCATTCTGGCTCATTGGTGATTGTCTCCTAGGAACAAAAGCGGATCTTGGAGATGGGCATCACCGGTCCTGAGGGTCATGCTCTGAGTAGACCTGAGGAGGTAAGGACTCGCCACTCTGCGATCTGTTAATTGCCAAGTGCTCATTCTAGAGCCCTTCAGCTGGAACAGAACAGTTGTACCCAGCCCCTCCCACTTCCCTCTGCTCTGTCCACTCCACTCCGCTCCCTTCTCCCTACCCCTTCCCAGGGTTCTGGAGCATGCAATCGGAGAGGCCACAAAAGGCCTATGCCAGGGTCCAGGAGTATCACCCCTGGACCCTGCACACACCCAAGTGTCTTGACTTGGGGAGAATCTTCACTGAAGACTTGGTATATATTGGCGACAGGAAAACTGGACTGAAGGGTTCCCTAGTGTCTTGTCGAATCATTCCTCTTTCAGGGCCACGCCTTGAGCGGTTGTAAATTAAAAACCCAAAATAGAAGTCACAGCAGGTGTTTTGGCTTGCTAATCCTGAGAGCATGGCTGGTCTAGAGGAGGATGAGATGAAATGAATCAGATTCAGTGGGTAAATGAGAAAGCATTGTCGGCCATGGGCGTACCCTGATGTCACGGGGTCAGTCATTTGCCATGACCGTTTGTGTGTCTTTTGGTACAGTGGTCCCCTCTCAGCCTGTGCAGTGTTTCTAAACCAGCGCAGGGCATCGCTCTATCTTCAGCTCTCCCATGGGACTCCTCTGAACTTTTCTCACTCCTCATGTTTTCCTCTCCTCCTGTGAAGTGGAAGATTTCCCTGTTGAGGACAGTTAGGAAGAAGGACATGGGTTCGGGGGTGGCTGCCCCCTTCCTCCCGTGACCTTTGTATTTGCTGTGTCCCCAGCTGGAGGCCGAAGCCGTGTTCCGGGCGATTGCCATTGCAGGCCGGATCAATTGCCCTGTGTATATCACGAAGGTCATGAGCAAGAGTGCAGCGGACATCATCGCGCTGGCCAGGAAGAAAGGCAGGTGGTGCTTATCCTCCTGAGGGGCGACGGAAGGATGCCCACGTTTACTCCTGAGCAGAGGTTGCCAGGAGCTGGTAGCTATGGCCTCTAGTGTTCTGAAGGGGTGGTCTGGGGTTGCACAGTACGGAGTTGGTTTTAGATTTGACTGCTAGTGTGCCACCTGTCAGAGACCTCTGCAAGTCCCCAACAAGCTCTGAGCCTCAGCTTCTTCATTTGTGACGATCCCTGCTTCCAGCGACCAGATGAGATCGTGTGGCACCTTGCTGGCTGTAGAGCCTTTCTCTGGGTTTCACACATGCTGATGATTAGTCAGGAATGGCCTGCAGGTCCTTCTGCATCCTGTCTCCCTTTTTGTGGGGCTACTCTCTGGGCTCTTCACCTGGCTTGCCCCTCTCCTGGGCTCTGTCCAGGACTCACACTGGGAGCTTATGCTCAGGGTTACCACATAGCCTGAGAAAAGAGCTAGTTGTGGGTTGGGAAAAAGGAAGGCATTGTCCCAGAGACCATAGTACAGGGACAGCAGGAGCTGGGTATAGATGAGTGCTGGCCTAGGTCAGCTGCCCTAATTGGATACAGAATTGGGCATTGACAGTAAGAGGCACTATATGTTGCTGCCCCTGAGGAAGATGCCAGACTATTGGCTTCTAGTCAGTCTCCTCTGCTGCAGACCCTCCTTTGGTACCAGCATGGATGCTATTGGCTATAACCACACTCCTTGTGTTTGCCTCTTCAAGGCCCTCTTGTCTTCGGTGAGCCCATCGCTGCCAGCCTGGGGACCGATGGCACCCACTACTGGAGCAAGAACTGGGCGAAGGCAGCTGCATTTGTGACCTCCCCTCCCCTGAGTCCAGACCCCACCACTCCTGACTACTTGACCTCCTTGCTGGCCTGGTGAGAGCCATGGGGACGGGGAGGCAGGGCTGGGGTTGTGGCTGGAGTCTGCAGCCAGAAACCACAGGCTAATCAGACACACTAGAGAAGGGAGGCTTGGGGTCTGTGCTTCGAGAACAGTCCTCCATGTTGTTTATAGCGATTCTTCCTGGACCTACGGGTGTGTTTCACCTAGTGATTGTTCACTTATTGAGCGCCTCCTCCCACCAGCTCCGCATTGTTTATGCACCTGCTGGGTTCTAGGAAGTTAGGTGCGGTTGGTAGCCTCCAGGACTAGGGATGAGAGACCAGGATTCAAATCTTGCCTTGGCCACTTGCTGGTCCTGTCATCTTGGGCTTGTCACAGTGTATGTAATGACTCCCCGTCTCACTCAGCTTGCTCACTGGCCACGTGCACAGTCAATGCCTGCTCATACAGGGCCAGCTGTGGCTCAGTACAGATGAAAGGAAGTTCATCTGAAAAGCAGTCACCGTCACTGGTGAAGCACAGTATTCTCCACATAGTGGAGCACACAGCCCGGCAATCCCTTCTGTAGTCAGCAAGAGAGAAGAGGGCTTTGCAAGACCACACAGTAAGCTAAGGAGGACAGGCTGTCCTGGAAAGGGTAGATGGCTGCGGCTCCGTGGAGGAGACGAGTTGGGGCTGGACTTGGGGATAAGACAGGACTTCCCAATATAAGGAACTGTGTGTGAACAAGGAGACTCTGGGATGTGCACCATGTGGAAATCTCTCCCAACATGATGCAGACACTATTTGCTGGTGAATTCAAGTGCTGACTCAGTGCCCAAGCCCAGAGCTTGTGGAAGTCTGACACATCTTCAAACTACAAAAAGAGTTCACATCTCCCCCAGGACCTGCTGTCCCACAGTCTTGGCCAGCTCAGAAAAAGGCAGAAACATGATTACAGTCCCCAGAAACTGATGATGTCTTGCACCCTTGGCCATGGCCACTCTGGCTCAGTGTGCTGGTGCCGCTTGCCTCCACGGATGCCCTCTGTTTCCAAGATGCCATCCCTATTCACTGTTTGTGCTTAGGCACTTGAAATGTCAGTGGGACCAAAGAGAACACCCCCATGATTTCTCCTCCCAAAGTGGAGTCCAGAGGGCAGAGCATGACCTGGACCTCACTCCTTGACTAGGTCTTTCTCCAGGCCAACTTTACCTTTCCTCTGCCCTTGGTGCTCTGGGCCCAGCTTAACAGTCTTGGGCTGACAGCAACACCCCCAAGAAAGCACCGTGTCTCAGGGCCTTTGCACTCCACCCCCTCCTAGGACTCTCTCATGTGTCTCTTGGTTGGTATTTGCTGCTTCCAGACCTTGGCTGGAAGCTTCCTTCTCAGAGAGGTATCTTCTGGTCATTAGATTTAAAATGGCAGCTCAGCTCACCTGCAGCACTCCTGTCCCAAACTGCTGTGGTCTTGTTTCTACACCCACCATGCCACCCACGGTCTGTTGACGATCACCATGGCTTCACCTCATTCCAGACACACAGCATGTGTGTGGTGTGGGTTTGCTAAACATCTAAGTACAGGCAGTCCTAAGCAGGACAAGTCTTAGGCACATGTCTGGCATCTAAGTGACTTACATATCCTAATGCTATAATATAGAGGACAACCTCAGCCTGCATTTACAAGCACTGAGTCACAGCCCTGTCTTCACTGATACTAGTCTCCAGGTTCAGGTTCTGGATGCATCCAATGGTCCTTGCTTCCCAACTCTCAAGGGACCAAATGACAAACCCAGAGATCTGTGTCACTCAGCTATTACCTACGATAGTCTTTGCTCTATGAGCCCAGCGCAGAAGCCCCGGCTGCCATAGGCCGGTAACCTCACTCTAAGAGACACATATCAGTGTGTGTGACTCTCCTATGACATGTAGAGATGTCAGACTCAGGTTGAAGATGGGAGGCTCTTGATATATAGGACATAGGCATGGACCAGCAGGCTTGGAGTTGACAGGCTGACTTTGGATGACTGACTGTATTATTGTCTATTGCGACAAGGGGGGGCGGGCATAGCTCACTGGTAGGGTGCTTGCCTAGCATGTGATACACCATGAGTTCAATTCCAAACACCAGAGAAAAAATATTGAGATAGGATTCCTGATGTCCAGTGCCTCCTTCAGAACTTTCCATAGAACCAACCGGGGCTTGAAGTACCACTCCTGTTCTTCATGTCCACACCATGCCAGGGACTGCTGTTCACAATGAGTGTGACTCTGCCTTCTTTCTGCTCTTGCCAGTGGAGACTTGCAGGTCACAGGCAGTGGCCACTGTCCCTATAGTACCGCCCAGAAAGCTGTGGGCAAGGACAACTTCACTCTGATCCCTGAGGGCGTCAACGGCATAGAGGAGCGGATGACTGTTGTCTGGGACAAGGCAGTGGTAAGTTTACCCCGCCTCTTGCCTGGAAGACTCTAGATGTACCCTGCCTGGCCTTTCTCTCTCTTACCTGAAAGTAGAGATGGGAACAGAGGAATCCTGGGAAACTAGCCCCAGGCTGTAAAGTCCTCGCCTCCTGATGTCATAGTCCTTGAATGAAGGATGGAAATCGGCTGGTGGCTGGAAGTGTGCTTTAGTTCACCAGAAACGGCTCTGTAAATTGTGTGTGTCTATCCTCATGTGTGCATGTTTGTGGGTGCACCTGTGCCGTGATGCATTATGTGAAATTCAGAGGACAGCCTGGGGGAGTCAGTTCTCGCCTTCTACCAGGTCCCAGGAATTGAACTCATGTAATCAGGTTTGGTGGGAGGCATCTTTACCTGCTGCATCATCTTGCCAGTCCCCACCTTATTTACTTTCTATCATTATTGTTTGTGTTGTGGGTGTTTGAGCTGCATGTTATGTTTGTGCCCCACATGTGTGCCTGGTGCCCTTGGAGGCCAGGAGAAGGTCCTGGAGACCCTGGAATTGAAATGATCAACTGTTGTGAGCTGCCATGTGGGTGCTGGGAATGAAATCTGGGTCCTTTGGAAACACAACCAGAGCTCTTAACCACTGAGTCGTCTCTCCAAAAAATAATTTTTTGAGACAGGGTCCCTCTCTGGCCTACGACTCACCAAGTAGGTATGAGACTGTCTGGTCACTGAGCCCCAAGGCTCCACCAGTCTTTACCTCCCCAGTGCTAAAATTACAGGTGTGTTGCTTTGCCTTACTTTTTACATCAGTAGACAAGGAACTCAGCTCCTCCTGCTTGTGTGGCAAACACTTTACTGACTGAGCTATCTCCTGGGCCCAGTTTTTAGTTTTTATAAAATGTGGGCCTAGAACCACTGATCGGCCTTCCCAGTGGCTCATGTGCAGCAGACCTCTGCTGTTCCTTTGATCCCTGCTCTGATCAGACCAGGCCCTCCAATGGAGCCTGGTTTCCATCTGTGAGGACCCCACTGGAAGGCTCAGGTCTGTGTCCATCTCTCCTTCTCCTCAGTGTTTGGGTCTTGATTGCAGGCTACCGGCAAGATGGATGAGAATCAGTTTGTCGCCGTCACCAGCACCAACGCAGCCAAGATCTTCAACTTGTACCCAAGGAAAGGACGGATTGCTGTGGGCTCTGATGCTGATGTAGTCATCTGGGACCCAGACAAGATGAAGACCATAACAGCCAAAAGCCATAAATCAGTAAGCCCCAGTTCATCCATGACACTCTTAGTTTGGGTGGGTGATTATTCCTTTGGGCCATTTCAGAAGTTTCTGGTTAAAAGTGATGCAGGGTTTTCCCAAATCTGCCATGTGGCTGCATCAGCCATTTACACTTCTCTATTGGAGAGATTCCAAGAAGGTGCTTTGAGCAGGCTAAGCCAGGCTGTGGTTCTGGTCCTATGAGCATGCTTTCCCCCCCTCTGCCCCTCTCTCTGCACACAGGGCAGACACATCTATTCCGGGTCATTGTGTTCCCTGGAAGAGTAGACTATGCTCTTACCCCTTAGCCATCCCTCCAGTCCCCAGCATACCTTTTTAAAATGACAGCTTTGAATGGAAATCATGGCACAAAATTTGAGGGAATGATTGTTCTGTTTGTGAGCAGGCTACAGGAAAAAAAAAAAAGTAGCCAAAACTGACTCTGTAGCCGAACAAAAAAACAAAACATGGTATGAGATACAAAGTTCAGGGCACGGATTGGGTTTGGGGATCTGCCAGTTACCGAAGGAAGGGTAGGTTCTTTGCAAGGTGGGAAACTACTGAGACTACTGAATGTGTGCAGAACAATGCACAGTAAGGGTTTTGCCCGTGTTGCCTGGGGGAAGAGACCTGCTCTCACTGCCAGCTGCAGGTTACAGCATAAGGAAGGCCAGGTGCTGAGACAGACTCCAGGGTGTAATGTGTGCCCCGAGGATACTGTCACAGCAACAGGGAGACTCATTGTGTTGCCAGAGATGGAATCTAGTGTCACCTCTTCGGGTGATGGAGATCACATGATCACACCTGCAGACGGCACACACAGTGTGTTTTAGCAAAAGCGTCACACCGATGGGACATTTGTTTGATGTTGGGAAGTGGGTAGATCCGTGGCAGCCCAAGTGCATGATGGGACTCAGATCAGCAGCTTGTGAACTTTCAAGGGCTCTCAGACCTGAACTCATGCTGGGGAGCTCTGGGGTAAGGGGTAGAATGAAGACTTTCAGGATGTGTAGACAGCACTGGTGTGGGGACAGTTAGAAGCAGGAAAGCACTCAGCTCCGTCGGAGGTAAAAAGAGAGTTTCTTTGGGATCCCCTTCATACCACTTGATTGTTTTCAACCACACGTGATCCATGGTTGTAATAATTGATAAATGATAAACACAATGAAAAAGAATAGGTGAAAAGCCACTGGGGGTGGCAGCTGCCTAATGCGGTTAAGTACCTCTTCAAGTGTCACAAACCAAACGCACGTTTTTAGAGGTTCTTTTGTCTTCTTCATTATTTTTAGGATTTTACTTTTTAACTATTTGTGTATTTAACAGTGTGTTTTGTGCACATGAATGTATTGCCTGCAGGGGCCAGAAGAGGGAGTTGGATCCCCTGGAGCTCAGGGGATGTGAGCAGGGTGTTGGGAACCAGCGCTGGTCCTCTGGGAGAGCAGCAGGATTCAGCAGCAGAACATGATCCTCTGCTGACTTTTTTTTTGGAGGGGGGATATGGAGGTCAGAGAACATATTGAGCGAGTCAGTTCTCTCCTTCCACCAGACCAGTCCCAAAGCTCAAACTCAGATCATTAGGCATGGCAGCAAGTGTCGCTATCTACTGAGCCACCTCACAGGCCCGTTGTCTTTTCACTTGTTGAGACAGTGACAGCACAGCCTTGCCCTGTGCTCAGACTATAAGTGTGCAATGTTCCTTCCACCCGGCAGTGCAGGCTGGGCTCAGTACTTGGGACATGATTTGCTGGTGCACTGCAAGTGTTTTAGGGAAGCCCATGTCCTTTGACCTTAGATTTTAGTTTAGGAAGTTCTCCCATGCAAAAGATCATCTCACTGACATGTGCATTACAGCCAGAATGTCCATAGTGCTTGTTCGCAGAGGAGAGTACTCCTATTCCAGGTGCCCAGGGTGGGTGTTAACTGTCAGGACCAGCAGGAGCTCTTCATTGTCTGCTATACACAGTGCACTATTACACAGTGAAGAAGTCGTCACTGGGAAATGCTTGTAACAGAGCATCACATTATGTGTGTTGTACTGGTGCAGGGGAAGTGTTGGGTGTGGTACAGAAGTAAATCTAGGCCTTTTGCACTCACAGACTGTGGAATACAACATCTTTGAGGGCATGGAGTGCCACGGCTCACCTCTGGTGGTCATCAGCCAGGGAAAGATAGTTTTTGAAGATGGAAACATCAGCGTCAGCAAGGGCATGGGCCGCTTCATCCCTCGGAAGCCGTTCCCAGAACACCTCTACCAGCGTGTCAGGATCAGGAGCAAGGTGAGCGCCTGCATGGAGGGCCCTTGTGCTGTGCCAACCGCTTCTTGGGGAACTGGGCTCGGTCCTGTGCAGAGCTGATGAACATGTTAGTTTGTCTGAGAAGTGGGCTTGGATCTGAAGCCCAGGCCATCAGACGAGGCGAAGGAGGTTGCAGGCCTTGCAGCTTGTGTTGCATACACCTGTGTGTGTGGGAGAGGTGTTCACAAGTCCTGCATCATTTTGGAGGATCTTCACATGGAGGGTCATGGGTCTCGTCTCCCAGATTAGAACCTGATTCTCAGGGCCAGGAAAGACTGCCCCAGTTACTCAGACGTCACAGTGAGAATGCACAGCCCAGCATCCCTGAGCGCTGGCTCCCTCCTGACCTGCCTAGCCCTCTCCTCCCTCCTGCCAGATGCGTGTCTACCTTCTCCAAGATCTTGAGACTTGGCCTCGAAAGGCCCCAGCCAAATATAGAGCAGGCACTGTCCTTGTCTGACTCAGAAGAGGGAGACTCCTTACTGTGGCTGTCCTCCCTGTCACCATAGCAACTTGTTACTCACATGAGCCCAGTGTGTCAGAAGGGCCATCTGTGTATGTTGCCTGTCTGTCTCTGTTCCTTATGTGTTGTATGAATGCATACTTGTGTGTCCACTTTGTGTACTATACATGTGGGTCCATCACATGTATTGCACACCCATGCACATGGACCCACTGTGTGTACTGTGCATGCATGCATGTGTGCCCATCTGTCCATTGCTCATTTTTGTGTATGTCCATTGTGTATTGTGCACCCATGTACATGTGCATCCACTTATTCATTGTGTACATTATAAATGTATGCCTATGTGTGGGTGTGTGCCCACTGAGTGTGCTGTGCATGCGTGTGTCTTTATTGCATGTACTGAACACGTCTTCACATATATAGATAGGTGTGTGCCTTGTATACTGGGGTGTATATGCATGTGCATGCACATTTGTACATGTGCCTCTGCCACAGGGCAGCACTAGATAGACACACGTCACAGGCTCTGTGCACCAGGTGGGAAGACTAAGTCTTGGGAGAGGCAGAGTGGGCCTGGGGTCTTGGGTACCAGAATGGCTGGGATGCCCACCCCACACCCAGGGCCAGCAGCTCCCTTGCTGGGCCGTAGACCTTTCACCAGTCTGCAGCTGAGGCCCGTGGGAACAGCTGACTGTCACTGAGAAAACACCTGGCCCAGTGCTAAGGCATCCGTTTACGTAAGGGGAGGGCAGGGTTCTTTGCCCTTGTGCCTGGGGAGCGGGCAGGAGCCAGGCTGGGAGCGGGGCACAGACCTGTGGCCATTCTGAGCCCAGAGGGAGGTGGTGACTGAGGGAAGGGATGAGAAGCAGGGTGGCAGAGCCTGAGGAGGGGGCTCAGATCACTGGAGGCCTTGGCAGTCAGGGAACAGGGCCGTGGGACAGGAGAGTGGTACAGGTCGATGGGGGCCCTTCAAGTGGTCCAGAGCTGAGCCTGTCAGCTTTGGAGGAGGTGCTTGGATCTGGGCTCAGGGTGCGGTCTCTTGCCACCCCCGGCCCCTAGAGGGCCTTGTACACTTCCCTGGATGAATGCTGTTCTCTGAGGCCATCTCTCCTGGTCCTCCTTGAGGTTCTCTGGGCTGTGCAAGATCTCCAGGGGGCACCATGGGTCACTTCTCAGCTCTGGGCTGTGTGGGCTTCCACAATTCTATGGCTGCCAGCTTCTCTGTCTCAGGATGGTGGTGGCCTGCCCGCTTGAGGTTATCACTGAGGGGCTCCTGGACTCCTCTGCCCTCCCTGTCTCTCCCTCCCTCACTCCCTCCTTTAACCAGTCACATGCCCCAGTTGCTCATCTCCCTACGCACTTCTGTAAAGATGGGAAGACTGGCCCTTGACTGCTGTAGTCTGGGTCTTAGGGCCCGCAGAGGAGGAAGTGGAAGGGAAAGTGAGTGTATGGAAATGACTTGAGGTCCTTCAGCATGAAGCTCTGTGTGCATGTGTATGAACAGATGTGCCCATCTATGGCACATATGCATGCGTGTGAATGTATATCCACATTGCGCTGTGGCACATGTCTGTGTGTACACAAGTGTGGTTTGTGCGAGCATATGTGTGGGATGTACAGCTAGATGGCCTCAGATCCGCTCTGTTGTCGGGGCGGAGGCACGGACACGCGTTAACCTGACACCTCCCTCTCTCTGTCTAGGTTTCCGGGTTGCACGGTGTTTCCAGGGGAATGTACGATGGTCCTGTGTATGAGGTGCCAGCTACACCCAAACATGCAGCTCCTGCTCCGTCTGCCAAATCTTCACCTTCCAAACACCAACCCCCGCCCATCAGGAACCTCCACCAGTCCAACTTCAGCTTATCAGGTAGTCTCATGGTAGCCAGGCTCCTGTAGAAAGGGGTCCATAGCCTCAGACACAGGTAGAGAAGGCCAGAAGGTCAAGGGCACACTCTCTGCTGTGCCCTGAGGCACAGCATAGGCAGGTGTTTTTAGGGTGCAGCACAGCATGTTGATTTTTGACTTGACACTAGTCAGCCCTGGGCTTAAGCGTGCCAGGGGATGTTACCACTCTCATACCATGAAGCTTAGTGTGGAGCCCAGGGATGGGTATGGGGCAGGGGCCCTGTCATTTGCTGGGTCCATGCTCTGTGCCTGGCTCTCAGCCATCCTCCTCAACTCCAGGCTTAGGAAGCACAGTCGGGACTTTATGTCATCCCCACGTGGTGGTGGTGTGTTTCTGGCATTGAAGTTTCACAAAATTCAGTTTGAAAGAATCAGGATTACATGCAACTCTACCAGATGGCCACAGGAGGGCATGTGCATGTGTACACACACACACACACACACACACACACACACACACACACACACACACACACACAGCATTGCACAGTCCTTGAAGTGATCCCAGTTGTTTGAGCCAGTGCAGGGTCCTAGGGATTTGCTGATGAGTGATGCACAGCTGGACAGCTTCAGATGAGCTGAGAAGCCGGCTAAATTCCACAGTCCAAAGGCTATGATGTTGCGTCCAATGGCTTTTTAAGATGCAACCATTTAAAACCTGAGCATGAGCTCATGGGCGCTGTAAAAACAGTCAGTGGGCTAAAGTAGGTCAGTGGGTCATCCCAGCAAAGGCATGTGCTAGCAACAGAGAGGGAGGCAGGAGCTGAGAGAAGGATGAAATTGCAGTTTAAATTGTAAGGCAAGAGGTACCCTGCAGGGATTGCAGTGGGTACTGGGTCAGGGGACCCCAGGACACCTCACTTTCCATATTCCTTTCTTGGAATAGTTATCTGAGTGCAATCCTGGTGTTAAAGGCGGCTGATGTTATTGCACAAAGAGACCCCAAGTACAACCCTGGCATCTTGTCTGGTGTGCTCAGAGAGCTGCCCTCTACGCTGTGAGGAGATTTGGAGACAGTGGCATCTCACAGCCATTGCAGACTGGCTCTCTAGTCCCATCAGGCAACAAATACTGCAGATCTATCATTAGAAGTGGATAGAAACATCTTTAGAATAAAGATAGCCATGTAATAACAAGCCTGTGTTAGGGCCCCCCCATTCCCTCTGAAGCCCACAGTGCCGCCCTTGGGGCCTCATGGACATTTACCAAGCGTCACTATTGCTGCCAGCGACATGGCTGGCTTCCCCTCATGGCTATCAAGTTCACCCTTGTCCACTTCAAAGGCAGACAGTGCTATGGCACATAGGTGTGGCGTGTCAGTCTAACGGGTGTTTCATGGGACAGTCACCGGGCAAGCATGGTGACTGTGGGCTAGGAAGGGAAATGAGGGAAGTGGTGGGCGAAGTCCCGAGTTACCAGGAGGATGGATAGCTGCCAATGAGATGGCTGGGAGAACCAGATCTGCACTCTAAGGCAGGCTCACCTAGACAGGCCTTGTAAGGTCAGGGTCAGAAGGGAAGTTGGTTAGTCTGCATTACAGGCACAGGACACTGCAGAGGAGGGTGGGCTTTGGGGACAAGCCAGTGTGGGCATGGGTCCTACCTTCTCAGTCTAATGTCTGCATCCTTAGGGCACTCACTCTGAGCCTCAGCTCTCTTACCTCTGAGCTGTATCCATCATGGTATTGTGTGTTCTCAGCACAAACCAGTGCACCAAGTCTGCTACACAGAGTAGGAACTCACTAAGTGAGGCCAAACTCTGCAGGGGTCGGAGATCTAGGAGGGGAACCCCAAGACTGGCAGGTGCCCAGGAGAGGTCAGGCAGGTTTTCAGGTCATGGGGGCTTCCCTGTGTGAACCTGGACGGGGTCTTGAAGGTGGTTTGGAATGCTGAGCGTTTCAGGATGGGGTGTAATACCCACAAAGGTGGGGAGGGCAGAGCCTCAGCATCAGTACACCAAGGTGATGCAAACAGGTCTTATTCCACACACTTCTGTCTCTTTCAGGTGCCCAGATAGATGACAACAATCCAAGGCGTACAGGCCACCGCATCGTGGCGCCCCCTGGTGGCCGTTCCAACATCACCAGCCTCGGTTGACAGATGAGCCAGCTACGCAAGAGTGAAGGATTCTGGGAAACTGTCCATTCCTTTTCCTGTCTGTGTTTTTGAAGCCCACAGTTTTAGTTGGTACTGATGGAGGGGAGATTGAGTTGATGCTCTTTCCTTCTCTGTTTAGGAAGAAGTGGTACTAGTGTGGTGTGTTTGCCTGGAAGTTCCTTGCCCACAGTGTGTGTTCACACCGACTCCACCTCAGAGCATGGTGTCTCCATTTTCCCTTCCTAGTGATCCCCAGGTGTAGCATCGTCCTATACCGTCCCCTCCACTCCTCCACGACCCTCTGAGTGATGGTTCCTTTGCGCCCTGTAGCTGTTCTAGGATAGGATGCATGTTAGTAAGTTACGTATGCAAGTCTGAGCGCGGCTGATGGATATCGCCGAGGACCGACGTAGACACGATGCCAAGACCTTAGCCCCCAGGGGAGACTCCCAAACTCTTAAAAATGAAGGCTCTGCCCTCAGAGTCTTCAGTGGAAGGATGTCATCCCCATCCCCACCCTGACTGAGACCTGTGAATATGCAGAATGGCAGGGAAGCCTTCCACCTGGTCATAGAGTTTCATCACCCACGTCCTGCGTCCGCAACCTGGTCCCTGTACCTGGCCATGGTGTCTTTCTGGTCTGTGTGTTCTTCCAGCCAGCCTTGGTCTTTGGGCCCAGCCAGGCTCACACCCAGAAAGCAGTGTCCTGACACACCCCTCAAGCCTGAGGACGGAGGGGTAACAGCTCTGCCCAGGCTGCCTGAGTCCCTGTCCCTCCGAGGAGGTCAGCGGGGCAGTCAGATTTTTAAAGTTTTGTACAGTTTTCCTTTGTATTCACTTCCATTTTTACTTAATGACTGACTTGTTGGTGGCTCTTATTTCTGAATTCAAAGCTTGTGAAAAAAAATAAAGAAATTAAATTGCCCGTTGACCTGAGTGGGTGTTTTCATTCAGGTGGATCAAATGCCTAGCAGTCATCCTGACTCTGTGATGGCCAAGTTCTGGGGACACTGGGGGTGGCCGATGGGAGGGAACAGTTAGTACATGACTTGGGAGAGATGGGTCAAGACTCTGGATCGATAGGTGGGCTCCTGGGATATGCATTGATTGACACAGCTCAGCTCACAGCTGGGTCTGCATAGAAATTGGGCTACTAAGGACAAAAGTGCTGAGTGGCTCGCCATGCCGCCCTCTAGAGCGGAGGCCCTGGGAGAATTCTGCACATTTCTGTAAGGAGCCACACTGCTCTCCAACCAAGTCAGCTTGGGGTTAAAGAAGAAGAGGATCCCCAAGTAGAGGGCACCCTTGCAAGTGTGGTGATCTTACTCGACAGTTCCCCAGAGGGCCCCCGCAGGCAAGAATACGGAGCCAGACCAACTTGGATTTAGAGGAAGGATCCTTATTCACGGTAGCTGTTCCTATGTGGGGAAAGCATTGCAGGACTCCGTGAGTGCCCAGGGCCTACTTGGGGTTTGCTGTGGATCTCCTGGGCACCCAAGCAGCCCTGTCTTCATGCCCAGCTACTGACTTCAAAATCCCTGTCAGGCAGGGCTCAAGGTCTGTTGGGCAGAGTGGGTCCCAGCAAATGCCTGAGTGCATAGGGGTCAGCATGCAGGGGCACAAGCCCCCCACTGGTAAGGAGGTTCTGTTCCCACCACACTTCTGTGTTTGGGGCTGTGTACCAGCTCCACAGAAAGCAGGAATCTGGCCACCCTCTGCCTCCTGAGGAGCTGTGGTCTCTTATCATGACCTGAGCGTGAAGTCACATGGGTAGTTACTGGACAAGGGCTTCTCTTAGGCCAGCCATACCCAGTCCTTAGTCCCCCTGACTCCTGTCTGAGCTGCCTTCCCCTGCAGGGGAGGTTCTGGTTTTAAAGGCAGGAAGGGGTCATGGAGAGAAGCTTGGCAGCATGTGACTGGGTTAGAGTCTTTGAAGAGACTCAGGAGAGGCTATGGTGAAGGTGCAGCCCAGATGCAGAGGAGAGCCTGGCATTTCGGAGATGCCAGTACCCCGGGACAACCACCACGGACAGTAGCATGTGTGCAGTGGAGTCAGCCTGAGCCTAGGAGACGAGTGTGTGCACTGTGGTTGCCAGAGCCAGAGAACGGGAGCACCCAGGCTCTCTGAACTCCACAGGGTTGTGAGCGGGTTGCAGACATCTGGTGCTGAACTATTCACATTGTTGAACTTGGGTTTGTTTGTTCTGATTGTGACTGTGCCCCCGGCTCTTCCCTTTTAGAGTAAGGAAGTATTTCACTTGGATTTTTTTTTAGTCTTTCTTTTTCTTTTTTAAACAGAAGTCCATAATTAAGAGTCGTCTGAGTTATAGAGAATTTGGATACTTTGGATATTTTTTAATTAATTAATTAATTAATTTTATATCTCCAACCACAGCCTTCCTTCCCTCTTCACCTCCCACTCTCTCCACCTCCCTCTGGCCCCCTCAACCCACCCCTCCTCCATATTCACTCAGAAATGGCCAGGCCTCCCATGGGCATCACCAAAGCATGGCATATCAAGCTGCCATAAGACCAAGCACCTCCCCCTGTATTCAGGCTGAGGAAGGCAATCCAGCATGAGGAATAGGTTCCCAGTGCCAGTCAAAGCACCGGAGACAGCCCCTGCTCCCATTGCCAGGAGTCCCACATACACACCAAGCTGCTCAACTGTCACACATATGCAGAGGGCCTAGGTCAGTATCATGCAGGCTCCCTGGTTGTTGGTTCAGACTCTGAATTCCCATGAGCCAGGCTCACCATTTCTGTGGGTTTTCCTGCAATGTCCCTGACCCCCTGGCTTCTAAAATCCTTCCTCCCTCTCCTCAGCAGGACTCTGGAGGTTTTAAGGAGACAAAACCTTTCAAGTGAATTTTAAGGATGGTGGGACTTTTGAAAACCAGATATGCTGTTTTATATTGTGATACTAATGTTACCATGGCATCCTGGGTACAAATGAGAAAGGAGAGGCTGCACTTGAGTAATGATGTGGTTGTGTGTCAGGTTGACAATGTGTTTGTATGCCAAGTTGACAATGTTTGTGTGCCAAGTTGACAAGTTGTGCTGGCTAGTTGTGTTTGTTTGTTTTTCCAATATAGATATCAGTTGGGGTCATTCGAGAGGAGGGGATCTTTTTTTGTTGTTGTTGTTGTTGGTTTTTCGAGACAGGGTTTCTCTGTGTAGCTTTGTGCCTTTCCTGGATCTCGCTCTGTAGACCAGGCTGGCCTCGAACTCACAGAGATCCACCTGCCTCTGCCTCCCAAGTGCTGGGATTAAAGGCGTGCGCCACCACCGCCCGGCGAGAGGAGGGGATCTTAATTAAGAAATGCCTCCATAAGACTGGACTGTAGGTAAATCTGTAGGGCATTTTCTTGGTGATTGATGTGGAAGGGCCCAGCTGGGCAGGTGGTCCTGAATACTATAAAAAAGCAAGCTGAGCAAGCCACATGAGGAGCAAACCAGTGAGCCATGAGCCAGCAAGAGTTCCTCCAAGGCCTCTGCTTGAGTTCTTGCCTTGGGTTTCTGCCCTCAGTGATGAACTGTGACGTGGAAGTATAAGCTGAAATAAACCCTTTCCGCCCCCAAGTTCCTTGTGGCCATCATGTTTTATCACACCATAGAAATCCTAAGAAACTTGGGTTACCTGGCCAGTCTTGGAGCTGGAGGAGGTGAGAAGCATGGTCATATCTGCCACACTCACACCATCAAACCAGAGGACTTAGCTGACAACAGTGATCCCTTTTCAAGCAGTGTTCTAGAATTCTTATGAAAGAAACCAGAGCTGTGCTGTATTCCTCGGGTGACATGTTTCATTACAGCCACCAGAGGGCACCCTGGACTCATGCTGAGAACACTATTCTGGGCAGGTTGGGAGACATGGTTGATCTAGTTGTTAAAACCAATGATTAGAGGGGAAGTGTCTCAATCCTTAAAGTGCTTGGCCTCTAAGCATGGGGACCCACTGGCCAGGTAGTCTCTCCTAACTGGTGAGTTCCAGGGCAATGAGAACCCTGTCCCCCCCCCCCCCAAAAAAAAAATGTGGATAGAACTTGAACCATATTGGATGTTGTCCTCTGGCCTCCAAATGTACACACACACACACACACACACACACACACACACACACACACACATACACACACACAGAGACAAACATACAAAAAAACCCACATGCACATGCCCGCTTTCCATGAGGGCCACTAGCTGGTTCTAGTTTATATTTTAAGAACCTAAAATTCCCAGAAAGTCCAGAAGATTCCTGAGACGGTCTACTGAGTCACAGAAGCCACTAAGTTCTAGAAATTCATTGTATGTGGGGCTTTGCAATGCCGGGCTTGCCCAGGGGAGGCACACGTTGACCTATCACTGAGAAACACCAGAGATAAATAGCTGGATCCAGTTGGCATGGGTGGGTAGAGCCCAGGGTTGCTGCCTGTTGCCCTACAATGCACAGGAAAGCCTGGGTCCCCACAGGCCTGAAACAGCAAGAACAACTCCTGGGATAGAAGTGTTTATTCAGAATGAGCCAGGGAGGGCTGGTGTGCAAGGAGGTTAAGGCCCGGGAAGCTGGAGGAAGGAAGGGGGGAAAGAGGAAGGAAGTAGGATCCTGTGTCAGTCAAGTCCGCGGTCAGAAACTCTGCCGGCCTCAGGCAGCACTCTCAGGCACCCTGGTGTCTCTGGGGAGGCATCTGAAGCAGTGTTCCCATGGAGTGACAGTTCTCATCTCCAAGGCACCAGTGTGTGCCACCCACAACCTCCTGGCTGCACATGGGTCTGGGTCTGACACGAGAGACTCCACTTTTGGCATCAGCAGCTAAACACCCAAACAAAGAGTGATCACACCCAAATATTGACAGTGATGGTTGGGGATGTTGCCTCTGGCCTGTGGGGCAAGTGGGGCTGGTTTGGAAGCTTAGGGAAGTCCTCACCATCCCTCAGGAGGAGCAGGTGACCTGTGGGTCTCTCCTTCGGGGAGGGACTGCTGGCTGGTGGGTTTCCCCTCCTCAGTGGAGCCTGGGGGTAGGGTCGGCCTCCCCTTCTCTGCCCTCCATGCCCAAAGAGGAGATCTTGTGGTATGTGACAGGCACGTGTGGTCCCCAAGTTCCAAGTGGCTCAGAACAAGCCTGTGGGTTTGGAAATCCATGGCTGTGCCAAAGACATTAGCTCTGAAAGTCAGACATCCTTGAGTGACCAGGTCTCAGGGCTACCTGAGCCAAAAGATAGAAATAGCAAAGCCCAAAGTTGGTTAATCCTGGTTGGGAGGCTGGCAGCTAACGCCAGGGACAGGCCATGACTGTGGAGTAATGGAGGCCAGACAGTGGCTTCAGGCTCAGACCCTCAGGCAGGACTTCAAGGAGATGCTGGGCAGCACCAGCACACTGTGAGATCAAAGGACAGGGGTAGAGGGCCCTCCCGAGGGAGGAAGCAATCAGGCAAAGTGCACCAGGGCAGAAGCCGAGGTTCTTAAAGGCATGTCTCCACCACCCCCTGTCATCCCAGGCACTGGGTGCTACTGTCCTGTCATTTTCACTTTCTAAGGCAGGTGGCATCCCCTCTCTCAAGACTGGCCTCCTGCTTCTCCCCCCAAACCACACAGCTCCAGCCATGGAGGAAGTGAGGTGCAAGGCAGGTCCATCTCAGCAGGGTTCCACTACACATTGCTTCTTTTCTGCAGTCTCTTCCTTGAGTTTTCTCCATTGCCAGCCTCGCTGTCCTGCTGACCCAGCCTCCTGCTGCTGTGGACATGGATGGGAGGTGATGCTGAGGCTGCTGCACTACGGATGCAGGGCCATCCAGCGGGAAGAGGTGAAACTTGCGGGTGGATGTGACAATGTAAAAACCAGGCAAACCACCCAGCACCAGGGGAGGATGGAGACACTAGCTCAGTTGACCCAGGAGCCCCAGAGCTGATCTACAAATGGCAGTTCCCGGCAAGGCAGGCAAGTTCTGTTACGGTCCCTCCCTGCCATTCTCAAATCACATTCCCAGCATCTCCTGTGCCTCACACGAGCACCCTAAGAAGGGTCACTCCTAAAACTTCATACACTTGACAGAGGTCAGGAGAAAGACAGTGGGCTGGGGGGACCCTTCACACCTGAGTGGTCCTGAGGTATGGTCCACCAAGGCAGGGTGATCATTGTTGGGCGGCCCCAGGTCCTCTCTCTCCCGAGGTGGGGGCTTCTTTCTTTTGGTCCTTACTGGCTTTTCTGTAGAAGACAGACAGGCCCAGGATGACTCCGTGACTTTAGATGGCGCTTCCTGCCTCCGTGACTTATAAGCAACCTCGGTGGGCAGGTGGACCTTGTATCCACATCACTGCTAAGCAAGCTGAGCACCATGAAGCAAATGAAGTTTTCCCCACACCCCACAGCCTCCTCTCGACAGAGCTGGGGTGGACCAGTGGTAGACCAGGCTTCACCCACAGCATGCAGGATACAGGAAACAGGAGAGGTAGAGGGCAGAGCACAGGTACTGGCCAGAGCTTGTGTGTGCAACATCTGTGAATCACTTTCACCACCAGATGACATCAGCTTGTGATGTTCCTGACGTATCTCTGGCAGGGGGAAGAGGTGTCATTCCCCCATTTTACGGATGGGAAAGTAGAGATGAGAATAAGATGGGGCCAGAGAGTAGTGGAGCCAGAAAATGGCATGGCGAGATGCTAGAGAGCCAGGGTCTCTGTGATGTCCTGAATCTGCTCAGTTACAGAGGGTAGGGAAGCCCAGAGAAGCTGTGTAGGACACCCAAGGCTACACAGCCGATTAATGTAGCTGTGGACTGGCATCCACTCCTCTATGCTCTGCGCCCCCTTCCGGCAGCAGCACCACAGTGCAGACACTTACCCGGCAGTCCTCGCTTGTTGGAGAATGGCTTGTTTTCAGTCAGCGGCACTCGGGCCAGGGTTGCCAGCTCTGAGATAAAGGTCTGCTCAGCTTCCTGACAGACAAACGGAAGAGAATCGGTATGCCTCTCTGCCCCTCACCCTGAGTTCCCCACTGCTGAGTTAAAGCCTTCCACTGTGGCGGATAGTTGGTGACTACATCCTATGTCAAAGTGCGGAAGAAGACTTTCCAAGCAGCACCTCGAGAGGTCAGGACCGGGACAGAGGCATGGAGGAGGGTGCTCCTCTAGACACCTGGGTCCTCTCTCCTAGTCTCATAGCCCTGTCCACAAATGAGGACACTTTGTGGGTTCAGCCACTGCCAAATGCCAGGTCTGCTCCACTCCAGTGCATGGCTTCTAGAAGACGCAGAAGCCATGACTTACTACTGTGTGACCGTACTAGCCTCAGTCTCTCTCTCTGTAGTAAGGGTCACTGCAGCCACCACCTCAGTTGCTCTGATAGGGTGCTGAGAGCTCTCAGGTCAGCTGCCATCTGCAAGGAAGCCTTGGGAACACAAGCTCATCATTGACAGGATCCTTACCATTGCAATCATTACTGCTACCCCTGGACGGATGCACCCAGAAAACACCAACTCATTGTCACATGTCTTCATTCTGAAACTCTGGCTTTTCTTTTAAATTTTATTTATTTATTTATTTGTTGTAGTAGTAGAGTAAATGAGTGTGTGTGTGTGTGTGTGTGTGTGTGTGTGTGTGACACAGTACACACATAGTGGTCACAGGACAGCCTCCGGAAGTCAGCTCTCTCCCTCCCCATGTACTCTGGGAATGGAGTACAGGTCCAGGTTGGAGCAGCAAGTTCTTTTTACCTGCTGAGACATCCTGTCATGCTCTGATTTTGTTTTAAGGCGTCCTGCCATCCCTTGATATTTTTAAGTCAGATACTTTGCAGTACAGTCACACCTCATAATCCTTTAGGTTGGGATTTTGTGTGTGTGTGTGTGTGTGTGTGTGTGTGTGTGTGTGTGTGTGTGTGTGTGTGTGTGTGTGCGCGCGCATCCACTTTCCACCCTGAGAGCTAAACCTCCCTGAATGCTCTACCTGGAGTGTGAGCCTTAGTTACTGTCAGCACTGCCCAAGGGGCAGAGATGGCAGCCTCAATACCCTGGAGCCCTCTTGGTGATGGTCTGCACAGGGAAATGCTCATTCCTTTACTACGTCCAAAGCCATGGGCAGACTGGCTGCTCAGCCATGCCCTGCATAGAGCAGGGCCATGTGGAGCCTGCTGTCCCCAAGGGGCTCATGCTCCCTTCAGAAAGCCACACTGTGTTGGCCAGTGGAACTCAGAGAGTCAAAGATGGCACGGACAGAGAGGTGCAGAGGTGAAGGTCTGGAGTGGGGCACGGGGATTTTTACAGCTGGCTCTAAGCTCGGTGTGGCCTCTTCCTGGTACACCATGCCACTGCCCCTAGTGTCCCATCTCCCAAACTACCTGCAGCTGGGTCTCAAGCTGGGCTTCGAGCTGGTCAAGCTCCTGTGCCTTCTGTGTCTGAGAGTTCAGGCGGCCCTGCTGGTGCTGTGTGAACTGGCCCAGGAACTTCTTCTGCTGGGACAGCATCCTGGGACAGTGTGAAGGGATAGTCAACACTGTTGGAATATCCCTAGGGCAATAGTTCCCCACAAAACCCTTCCAAAAGACATGCTACACCATGGACTTGTGACCCTTCATTGCACGTGAGCTCTGGAGCCTCGAGAGGAGCCAGGAAAACACATGTGTGACTTACTGCAGCCACATTTCCCCAACAGTCCATCCAGCTCCAACCCTGAGGCTGCATGGCCATAAAGCATGGGGAAGTTTTAGGAATCCTGCACACACACTGGATTTAGATTCCTAGGAAAGCTTGGGGACACCAGCAGGACAGAAGCAAAGTAGGACATTGCTATGTGGGGACTTACAGATGCACACTGGCATCTTCTCACGAGCAGACAATCTTACCTACGGAGAGAGGTTGCCATGAAAGGACCAGAGGCCTTCCAGGACCACAAAGGAAGCTCATTTCCTGGGGACAGTGTCTGACAAAACCTTAATGTGGCAGTAGGAATGGGACTGGGCAGAGGCCAGGTCCCTCACACCGAGAGCACTGCCTTCTCTCTTGGGCACAGACCTTTCTCTTCAGCAGACTGTGCTCTGGCCCTCTGCAAACAGTGATATCTATTTCCGGCCTGCAGTCCGTGACTGCTAATTTCCTCCTTTCTGTCTTTGGAGGCCATTTTCAGAAAGGCTTGACTAGGTTTGAAGGCAGAAGTCACCTTTAGCATCAATAGGCAGCTGTCCTGGGCACACAAGGCATAAGATGCTGCCTCGCCTCTGCTTCATGCTCTCTAGGCTGCTGGAATACCTTTCTTTGCTTCCTTGCATTTGGCCTGTAAATTTCTATTTACCCTGTAAGACCAAATCATCCATCTATCCATCATCCATCCATCCATGATCTATCCATCCATCCTTCCATTTATCCACCTCCACCAATCCATGATCCAACTAACCAGCCATGAGCCATCAATCCATGACCCATTTATTCATCTATCCACGATCCATTTATCCATCCATCTTCATCTACCCATCATTTCATCCATATACAGCCATCTATGATCCATCTAACCAGTCATGACCCATCAATCCATCCATGATCTTTCATTCATTTATCTATGATTCATTTATCCATCCATCCATGTACCATCCACTTGTGATCTGTCTACCCATCCATTACCCATCTATTCATCCCTTTTTTTCTTACTAAAGTACTTCTAGCCAGGCAGTTACTATGATCTCACATTGCCACACACGTATACCATGTACTTTGATGATTTTTCTCGATCACTACCACCTCTTATCCTTCCCCCTGCCCTGGCCCCATACTGATCCCTTTCCTTTCCCCAAACAGCCCCCTTCCAATCTCACGCTTTCCTAAAAATCTAGAGTCTGTCTAAAAGAGAAATGTGTGCTTGCCATTTTGAGTCTTGTTTATCTCACTTAACATGGTGATCACCTGCTCCATCCTGTAAATGACATGCCATGTTTTTTAATGGCTCAATGATACTTTATCATGTATATTTATCACATTTGCTTCACCCGTTTATCCATTAGTGGGCTTCTGGGCTGGTTTGTTACCTTGTGCATTGTGGAGAGCGCTGTATTGTTTGGGTGTGTGAATACCTCCGCTCTATGCCGACTGAGCTGGTTAGTTTATTTTCAACTTGTCAGTCATCTGGGAAGAAGGGGAGCCTCAACTGAGAAAATGCCCCCATCAGATTGGCCTGTGGGCAAGCTGGTGGGGGCATTTTCTTGATTAACGATGGGTGTGTATGTGTGTGGGTCCAGCCCCATCCAGGCAGTTCCACCCCTGGGCAAGTGGTCCTGAGTTGCCTAAGAAAGCAAGCTGAGAAGGCCATGAAGAGCAAGCCAGTAAACAACATTCCTCCACGGCCTCTGCATCAGTTCCTGCCTGGAGTTCTGATCCTGACATCTCTTCATGATGGACTGTGATGGGGTCATGTAAGCCACATAAACCCTCGCTTCCTCAGCTTGTTTTCGGTCATGGTGCTTTATCACAGCAGCAGAGACCCAGCTAGGGTGCTGACTCTGGTTCCTTTGGGCACAAACCCTAAATAAGCTGACCTACCACCTCTTTCCTGACCCCCAAAGCTCCTTCTTTCTATCCTGGGGACACAGTCTTTTCTCTGTCACCTTGATTCTTCTCATCCATGGAGTAACAAGCAAGAAACCTCTGGTTTGCCTGTTGACTCTGGATGGCCTGGCTCTGCCTTCACAGAGCCCTTCTTAGCGACAGGTAGTGACATTTAATGCCTGTCATACAGCAGTGTCTAGCTTTGCAGAATGTTCCCTCCCTGACTTTCAAGGAGGCTGAGTCTACTATGGATTCAAGGAAAGACCATGTGTATTCTCTCTGTCAGAATGGCTCTTCTCTCTCATAAACCATGTGGAGTTGGACCAGATGGCTACTGAGACCTGTCTTATTGTGGGTCAAAGCTAGACCCTGAACTACATTCCAATCATAATCATATCTCTAGTAGTTGAAGGTCAGGTGCTGAAAATGGGGGTCCCTGAGCTCTCCCTACAATTCTGTGATCATGTCCGAGTTTTGAGGTACCAGGAGTGGGGGTATGGAACCTGTACATTTAATGGCAAAGCCAACCATACTGCTGGGCCATGGTCTAATGACTTCGGGAAGGTTGGGGCAAGCCTGGACCTTGCCGCTTAGCAGGGGTTACCTGCTGATGGCTGCCAGTGCCCAAGGCAGAGGACTCTAGGAGGGGTGTGGGGTTTGGTCCAGTGAGGCCATGGTCCTTATTTACTCAGATAGCCTACTGAGGCTGGGACCAACTCTGTTATGTGTGGGTGGTCCCTCCCTGATGTGACCGCTAGCCTCTGCTGCTCTCAGTGGTAGATGCTCTGTTCAAGCCCGCTCCCCCTGAAGTTGGAGGTTCCCAACACAGCAGCCTGCTTTATAGTCTACTCCTGAGACTCCCTTTAGGACCGACAAGACGTGTCCCAGGCACAGCTCAAGGCCAGGCAAGAGCAGGTGCTCCCAGGGTCTCTTCAGCACGGCCTCAGCAGCTGCTTGCCCCATCTGGAGCTAGAGGACCTTTGTCCTCAGGAAACTCAGGAACCACTCTCCCCATGGCCCTGCAAGAAGAGTCCAGCTGAACGGCTACTGATTCTAGCCCCCCATGACTGACAGCAGCCAGATAAGCGGAGCTGACTCTGACCCACTGCTCTGCGAGACAGCAGGTGAATGAGGCTGGGGCTGCTGAGCCCGTGGGAGCGGAGATGGGCATTGCTTCCCACACCTTTGCCCCCGTCTCCTGCACCCTCACCTTCACTTCCCAGGTTAACAACATATAACCAGGGCTGGGGAGATGGCTCAGTGGGTAAGCGCTAGCATGAGAACCTGCGTTTCATCCTTAAAATGCATGTTAAAAAAAAAAGTTGGTTGGGTGGTGGTGGTGCACGCCTTTAATCCCAGCACTGGGGAGGCAGAAACAGGAAGATCTCTGTGAGTTTGAGGCCAGCCTGCTCCACAGAGTGAGTTCCAGTACAGCCAGGGCTATGCAGAGAAACTCTGTCTTGTAAAACCAAAATAAATAAATAAATGAATAAATAAATACAGAGAGAAAGAAAAAAAAGCTAAGTATGGTGGGGCATGCTTGTAATCCCAGTGTCGAGGAGGAGACAGGTAGATATCCGGGGCTCAATGGCCAGCCAGCCTAATTTGCTTGGCATGTTCCCGGCCAGTGAGACACTGTTAAAAATCAAGGTAGATGGTGCCTGAGGAACAAAGTTGAGGTTATCCGTGGGCTGCCATACACATCTACACTTATACACACACATGCACACACACACATACACACATAGATAGTCACACCTACATAAACACATATATACCCGCACTCATATATGCATACCTGCACTTAAACACACACACACACACACACACACACACACACACGCACACGCACACGCACACGCACGCGCACGCACACGCACGCACACACTCACTCACGCACGCACGCACGCACGCACGCATGCACACCAGTCTTCACACAAATTCTCATCTCTAAGCTGACTTCTAAGAAGTCCAAGATATGAATGAGAGGATTCAGAACTGACTGCGATGCAAAAGACACCCACATCAACAGGCAAACCACGCAGGATCCCAAGCCCACCATGTAGAGTGGAGTGCACCCCATGTAGGGACCCCCAGACAACCCTGAGCCCCACCTCTGCTGCACTGTCTGGGTAGCTCCATGGGTATCTGCTGCCCGGCTGCCCGATGGTGTCTGGCTCTCCGATGGTGGGTCACCGAATTCTTGCTTCTTCCACAGCTTGTAAGTGTTGATTCTCTCACCTGGAGCCACAGACATATGGCGATCAGGGTGTGCGTTTGGAAGGTGGACTCTGCTAGGCTTAGGTTGAAGCTGCGGGCCAGGGAAGGGAGTGAGCACGACACCCCTGCTTTTACAGCACATCACAGGCACCAGTCCTGGGAAGGCCAGTACAAGAGAATGTAATGGATGCTTTGGCACAGGTCAGGCACAGGCCTTGATCTCACACCCATTGCCTGCAACTCTTTCTTATTTGCAGTTCCCTATTCAGAAAAATTGTGACATTATTATTATTATTATTATTATTATTATTATTATTATTATTATTTAAAGTGATGTGTTGCCCTGGGCTGCCCTGGCTGAGAGTACTCTCTGTTGCATAATTACTATAATGCCACCTTTACCCTAGGAATCCATGCTTGACCAAAGATGACGGGCAACCCTCCCGGAGGTGTCCCTCTGTCAAATAACTCAATACCCAGGAAGCAGTTTTAGGGGACACATGGTTCTGCACTTGGCTGGTGGTGAGGTGACCAGCAGCTGCTGACCTGGCTGGGCCTGAGGAGCCACCACTTCATCAGCAGAACCATGCACAGGCTTCCTGCTCCCTGCTCCTTAGGGAAGCAGTCCTTTCCAGAGAGAGAGAGAGAGAGAGAGAGAGAGAGAGAGAGAGAGAGAGAGAGAGAGAGAGAGGGTTTGCTGCAGTCTGTCAGGGAAGCTAATGTCCCATGCCCACAGCAAAGAAGAATGAGCCGCTAGAGCCCAGAGAACAGGAGGAAGGTGAGTCCAGCCCTCACGCCCACAGATGGCAAGCAGAGGCCTCGTGTGGAGAGTTGACAGGCATTGGTTTTGAGTACTCTGTAGGGATGAGCAGGTGTCTCCTGCTAAGCAAGCCCAAATCTCTTTGAAACACTGTGATGGGGAACCTGCAGCCACCAGTGGGTTCCTGAGCACATGCCAGATCTCAGCTGCATTCTCCTTGATGGGGGGAGGGGTGGGCAGGTGGCAGCGGAGCCCAGCTGAGAGCAGGGACAGCCACAGACTGGTACTCCAGGACCTTCCCCCTGTCCCTCCACCTGGGGCTCAATCCGAGCCCATCCTGGGGGAATGCAGTAAAGCATGCGAGCTGTGGAGTTAGTGCCACTCTGCAGACCCTAGTGCAGGGAGGCAGGAAGGAGAGGAAAAGCCGGCGGGAAATCTGGGTGTTATTTAAGGGTCGCTGTGGGAAGGGCGGCTGTCACCCACTGCTCCATGGGTACGGTGCTGGGAGATTAGCTACAGAAGCCCCGAGTAAAACATTCTTGGGGTCTCAGGAGCTCTGCTGAGAGCTCAGGAACTCTCACTCATGGCTACTGCATCTCTTTGGCTACCAGGAAGCTCAAAGATGGAATGACTTCCATTTCTCAGCAGGACCTACAAGCATTCATCCCAGATGCTTCCCAGAAACCACCTAGACTTACTGTATTGCATACACACGATTCTTTTATCACCCTTTACAAAGGCTTTTGAGTCAAAAAGGGAAACACACACACACACACACACACACACACACACACACACACACACACACACGTGTGCATGCATGTGTAGATTCCCCCAGGTACACACACAAGGCTTTTGAGTCAAAAAGGGAAACACACACACACACACACACACACACACACACACACGCATGCATGCACACGTGTGCATGCATGTGTAGATTCCCCCAGGTGGGCCGCACAGACTCCACTCTTCAAAGCCACCGCTGGCCTCTAGCTGCGGAGACACCCACCCTGCAGGGTCTTCAGACGCTGTAGCACTTGCTCCTGGTGGGCCTGCAGGAGCTTCCCAAGGCGCTGGTAATATGCTTGCACAAGGTGGCTCACGCTGGTGCTGGTCACATACACGCTCTCCACCACCGTCTCCACCAGGGTCCTCTGTGGTCAGCAGGAGAGACAGGGTCACGTGGAAGGTCACAGGTGGAGCCACCTGCCTCTGCACTGTATTTCCCACCCTTTCCCAAACCCGGACTGGCCAGGACTCAGGCAGGGTGAGCATGGCCTGTTTAAGCCAGTTCGTGATAACCTTATTTTCCCTTGGCTAGGAAGGTCGGGATGATGGTTTTGATCTAGTTCTGGCCAATAAGATGTAACATTCGGGAAGCCTCCTGGGGGTGGGTCATCTCCTTCCTGAACATTAGCACAAAGCCTTGATGGGTGAGGGACTCCATCACATCCACCATCCTGCCAGGCTGCACATATCTTTGTTTGCTAGGCCACTGACACCATGGCCCTTGTCTCAGTCAGATCTCTCTCTCAGCTCACGGATCCAGTGGGTAATCAAGGAGATACAGAGTGGGCACTGGAGATGAGCCGAGACCTGGCTCCAGGTACATTCTTACTGCTCACTACCTGCCATGCTTTCAGTGTGTCTTTTGTACAAGGAGAAGCCTCAGTTTGCCCATCTGTACAATGGGAAAGAGGATCCAGCCTGGGCTGTATGGAATCTGAGGAAGCAGGGTAGAGAAGGCACCCAGATGTTGCATCACACTCACATGACCCCTGTCACTATTCTGACCGCTGTCATTTAGCCCTGGCAGCAGAAGCAGTGAGCCACTGCCCACTTGTCCAAGTTTGAGCTATGGGGATCATGAGGCCATCAGAGTCTGTCTGCAGAGCCTCAGGGAGAGCCACACCTCTCAGCTTGGATCTGGCTTTGCTGTGCGGTGGGCAGTGGAGAGGAGAGCCAGCCAGGTGTGCCTCAGGCTGATACAGAACCAGAGTTGACAGGACACAGCTTAGGGCCTCTGTGTTGGGGCCGGGTGATTCTTGGCTGGCAAACCAGGCACAGGCTGTAGGCTGGAAGCTCAAAGGGAGTCAGAGAAAGCGCCATTCTTCCTGCCCCTTGGCGTCGAGGGACAGGGCTTGGCTCTCACCTTGAAGTCTTCCTTGTCCCTGGTCCGGCCCTTGCTGGCCACGTTCCTCGCATGCACCAGCAACGCCTGCCCGACGGCCCGCTCCGAGTGCAGCTGTAGCAGCTGCCCTGCCTCCTGTGCCTCTGCAAGCAGCTGCTGCTGCAGCCTCAGGCCGGTCTGCTGCGCCTCATCTTCCAGTCTGGCCGCCTCCTCCAGGATCCGGGCCTCCTACGAGGGAAGACATGCTACCCCGCAGCCAGGATGGCTGGGCCTTGTGCTGGCCTGAAGGCCGGGGAACAGAGTGAAAGGGCGGGCAGATTCTAGACTTGAAACACTAGCCCTAAGGATGAGCGTAGGTGTCTGTTGATAGCCCCCTCCCTCATCCAAAGACATTTATTGAGCACCAGCTGTGTGCTCAGTGTGATCCATGGACCCTCACAAAATGAGGGCCTTGTTCTACACTGTGAAGTCTGAAATACTAGGACTGACAAGGTCTCAGAGGCTCAGAGAGGTTGAGTGACTTCCTAAAAGGCAAACAGCAGAGCCAGGTTGAGATCTGCTCTGGGGATGTGGTAGAAGCTGTGGCCGGGCACATGGGGCCAGGGACAGAGCGTGTGGGGTGAGGGAATCAGGAGCTTGGGGCGGAGAGATGGGGAAGCTGGGAACTGGAGCTAGAGAAGCAGCCTGCTTGGTCCCTTTAAGGAGGAGCAAGAGACTGGGCTGCTGTGTCACCAGCAGGACCAAAGCCACCACAGCTTCTGTGGCTTAGGAGAGCCATGCAGGAGACCCAGGGCGGCTGGTGGGGATTCAAGCCTACTGCTGCTCGCCAATTATTCCAGTTTGTTCAAATCTTCACAGAGCGAGAAGGGCCTCTTCCCGGTGCCTGTGTGCCATCTGCCTCTCCCTCCCTGAGACTTCTCTTAGCTTCCTGGTAGAATTCTCTCCATGTCACCTTCACTAGAATCCCCTGACATATGTGTGTCCCCTCTGAGTCACTTCTGCCCCTCCCCCATTTATGAATTGGACCATGTTCCCTCAAATGTACATGTTTAAATTATAATCGTAAGATTTCAGTGTTGAATAGCATGGATATGGGACATGGGAGATTAATGTACAAGGGTTTTGAGCTTGGGTCTCCTTCCAGCGTACTTGAAGTCCTCCTAAAAGGAGTGAGGATCTCAATACACACGGAAAGATGGCCATTGTGAGCACACAAGAGTAGATGTGTCTGTAAGCCAAGGAACAAAGTCTGAGAGAGACCTGCCCTGATCTACCTTGACCACGGCCCTCAGGCCCCCATCCTGGGAGGCAATGAGGCCCTGTGAGTCAAATCCCAACCTGAACCTTTTGTCACACTGCCCTGCAAAACCCTGGAGTGTCAGGATCCTAATGTGACAAGCAGGACTGGAACGTGGGTCTAATGGAGCACTTCCGGGCAGCGTTCTGGGGCAGATGACACTGTGTTCTCACCAGGGCTCTGAGCAGCTGCCACTGATGCTCCTCCAGGCATGGGGACGCTCCCTGCTCCAGAGCCAGCTGCTCACGCAGCTCCTGCAGGAGCCTCTTCTTCCCAGACAGCCTCATCTGAGCCAGGGTAGTGATGGTGGTGCCTCGGAGGGCCAGTCTGCGCAGAGCAGAGCCCAGCAGCAGCTCGTGGCCCTGCAGGATGCCTCGTGTGGACCTGTGTGAGAGAGAGAGCAAGGCTGCTCACAGCTCTAGGATGCCCTGGGCCAGTGAGACACTGAGGGGTCACACCCACAGGAGGAATGGGAATCCACCATCCCACCATTCATCTGGTGACACCCAACCACATCTTTTACAAGCAGTGGCTGTGGTGCATGCCCAGTTCCATTTCATACGTAAATCTTAAACACATTTAAAGTCAAAACAAGCACTTGAGTTCCCACGCCAGTGGGTCAAGACAACCCAAGGCCAGGCAAAGGGGCCAATGCTTTGTTCAGAATGTACAGTGCTTTGGAGAGGCTGGGAAGCTGGACAGAACCTTGGCAGCCAATGAGTGACAAAAGGCAGACATGGGGCACACTCAAGGCTTTTTGCTGCAGCCCTCAACCTGGAGATGTGGAGTCACCACCTTTTACAAAGTCCTGCCGTGGAACCAATCAGTCCTCGGGGATGGGTTCATCTGCCATAACTTAAAATCCCTGCTAGGAGCAACACTAGTGTTCTGGGAAGTTTGGCACCATAAAAGCTGGCCCTCATCTCCTCAGCCATTCAATAAGTATCCAGTGGTCAATAAAAATAACAGTCATACAAACAGGAAAAAATGACCATCCCAAAAAAGTGGAAAAATAGACAACAGAAAAGCTACAAGGTAACATATGGACCAAAAGAATGGAACAGTGCGGAATTATGTATGGAATGTGCTGGGAGAGTCTAGTAAGTATAAAACTGAATCCCAAGATATAGAGAGAAGACTGATTTATACTAAATATAAATGGACTAAATACTAGTACAACTCAGGACATAGGCTCCTGGCTATCTGAACCTCTGTGAGCTGGCAATGTTCATTGGGTCATTCTGGTTCACCCTGCTTATCTTTCCCCCTTCTGACATCATCCACTACAACAGACACACCTGCTGTCATTCTATCCACAAGAACCATATACCCGTCCATGGCCATGCAACCACTACCATCACCACTCATTTCCTGTACCAAGCACTGCCAAAGCCACAGACCTGCTCCTGTTCCATCCACCACAACAGCCACACACCTGCAGCCATACCAATCCATTGCTGCTGTGACCACCTCTACTACAGCCACACTCCTGCTTCTGTACCCACATCTACTGTGGCCACACACCTGATATCTACATAAATCAGGTTCTTGGGGGAAAAGATGGGTAGCTAAAAAGAGAATACTTGTCATTTTTTTTCCTCTAGAAAACAAGGAAAAATATTTTCACCAAACAGAAAAACCACACAACGGGAACAGCAAAACTGTAGAAAGAGAATATACAGTTGATTGATGGTGACTGTAAATGTGCACAAAGTATCTATATGATGACAGACGTTTCCAACATCTGGACTGCATGTAGTAACAGAAGTAAAACTGCAAATTTACCAAACATCTAGAATTGTACTCAAACCCAATGTGTATAAATTCACCTCACAAGAGATAGTCCAAAAAGTCCCTGCCAGGCAGACTGCCATGAAACAGGCGTTATTAGCACTGCTTTCCGGAGAAGGAAACTGTGAAACGGTGCATCTTTATTATCAGGGGAAGGCAGGGGGTAGCCGATGTACCCACATTGCAGGTTAGCACACTGAAGTTAGCCTGGACTCTCCCACAGACAGAGCCCATCCTTCAGGGCTCATACTCACTCTTCAGAGAGGCCACTGAATCGGCTCAGGACCCGGTGGATGGTGCTCTCCTGGTGATCCTGCAGCTGCCTCTGCAGCACCGTGGACAGCGCACACTCCTCCAGCCACACCTGTGCCCAGAGGGACAGCGATGCATGAAGCGGGTGCAGAGGGTCCATCAACCCCTGGTTTTCTAACAAGTCCTTTTCTTTCCTGATCCTCCTAACATCTTTGCTTGTGCCCACAGTCCTCCTAGGTAATTTCATATGATTGGAAGGAAGGCTTTCATCTCCCCTAGCAAGACCATGCAATAAGACCTCCCTCATGCAGAGTCCTCTCTCAATCTCCTGAGTTTTAACAGGGTCTGTCTCTACCAGCCTGGAGACTTCCGAGCCTGCACTCAGGGTGCCACTGGATGGAGCATGGGTCTTAACAGAGGCCCTGGCCTGTGATTCTTTGCCTTTTCCAGTTTCTAGAGGCTGCTTGCTGTGTGCTCAGGCTCGCCAGCCCACCATTCCAAGCTCTGCTTTTTTGACTCCAACCCTCCTGCTTCTCTCCCAGCCCTTCCCGGGTCTGCAGCCACAGCTCCGCGCCATCTCCTCTGTCCTTTGCTTTTCTGCCTTTGGCCTCACGACTTCCTGGGTGAACTTACAGGTGTGTTCACATCCTGGCCCTCCCTGTGACTACGGGGGACGCTTGGTAACCATGCCTTTGTTTTCTTGGGGCACTGGGTATCATCCCAGGGCCTTGACCATGTTCAGCATGGACTCCAGCACTGAATGTATCCCAGATGTTTGAACCACATTTCTGTGGTGTCCCTAAGAGGCCCTTGGGGTGCCCAGCATCTGAAAACCCCTCACCCCAAGTCTCATATGCACGGCCCAGCCCAGGTCCCAGGTGACACACCCGCCTGTCGTGTTCCAAGAGGTCACACAGGAGTTCCCACTGCCGTCTGCGAAATCGGTCCACCTCCCCCAGCTGTTTCGCTGCCTGCTCCTGGACCTGTTGTTTCAGGGCCTCACATTCTGCCACGGGGAGACTGCTCACTTCTGGGAGCGTCTTTAGGAACAGAGTGTCCACAAACTTTTGGAAGGTCTCCATGGTGCCACAGTACAGCTCCTGAAATGAGAACCACACTGGGGTCATGGGTCAGGTTCCATATCCCCCCATGCTGGGGTCTAAGCTTCCAGACTTGAAATAGAGCACATGGGTCTAAGCAAGAAAGGTGATAGGAACAAAACACACACACACACACACACACACACACACACACACACACACACACACACACAGCTGTTATCACAGGCAAACTATATGTATTCCAGAGTGGTTATAAGAAACGGACCTGAAGTAGTGGCGGCTGCTCTGCCCATGGTGTTAGAAGCCACGCTTACACAAGATAAGCAAAGAGCTGCAATGATAAACAGTACTGCTTGGTTTAGAAAGCACCAACTAGATGTTTCAGAACTCAGAAGTTCTAAGAACTCAGTCACGGTTTCAATCACCGTCATCTAGACACAGGCGAAGAGAGGATCTGTGCATAGGAAGATAAGTCAGAAGAAACCCCGAACAAAGCAAGGAGGCTACACCATGGAGAAGATGAAGGCACCAGAGAGACCAGGAAGTCCAACAGGGGTCACTGCTGTCCCCAAGGAAGGGACACGAGAGTTGGAGCAGAAGTGGTATTTGGAGAAATAACCAAATTTCCTAAAACTACTATGTTTACAGATGAGGACACTAAGGCCATAGAACTGATAACACCTAATCAATCCTGGACAGCACCGGTCAGGACAGCTGTGCTTCCTGTCTCCACACCTTCTAACTCTTGAATCTGGAATGCTGACTCCTGGTCCACTCAGGGACACTTCCTTCAGACAGACAGCTGTCTGAGGTCACCTTCACCCTGCTCCTCCATGGGCCACTCACTCTCCTCTCTGTGCTTGATAAGTAAGGGTTCGGTGATGGCGTCAACATGGGTTGGGATGTCCCCAGTTCCAGCTGCTGTCCCAAGGCCTCCCAGGCACTGGGTTGTCATAGTAACCCTGTGAAGGGAGACTGATGGAGAAACAGGGCTAGAAGGACCAGGCAGTGTTCACACGGCAGTGTGTTGAGGTAGAGCTTGACACGGAGCTGGGCAACTGAGTCACCTCTCCCAACAGTGCTGCTGCCTGGTCCTGAGGTCTGTGTTATATCCTTCCTTACCAGCATCTTTCTTTACCCCTTTTCCACCCCTCAGCCTGGGTTCTGCCCTTCTCATCAGCATGTCCCAGGGCCCTACACCTGGGGGATCTTCATGCACTTCTTCCTGTCTCCTCAAAGCCAGCTGTGAGGAGAAACGGGCAGCTCTAACTTGCCTAGGCACAGATTCAAAGGTGTATCAAGCTCCCAGTACCCAACATGGATTTGAAGAACCCATGGCAGAGATGTGGTCTGTGGATCCTCCAGGCAGCAAGTAAAATGCCACCTGACCCTGCCTCTGGTGTCCTGGCCCAGAGGATAGGAGGATCAAGGGGTTCTCTCACATGAGCAGAGCAGAAGGATGCTCTGTTGTCTGGCTAAGTCACTGTAATCTTCATTGTCAACTTGGCCGACTCGGAGTCACCTAGGAGACACACCCATGAGTGAGTCTGTGCTTAACCAAGGAGGGGAACCATTCACGCTGACTGCAAGCAGTCCCATTTTGTGAACAGAGATCCCATGCTGAATAAAAGGGGGCAAGCGGAACACCAGCATGCATGTTTCTCTGCTTCTTGACTGGAGATGCAATGCAGCCAGCTGCCTTATGCTTCTGATGCCATGCCTTCTCCACCAAGATGGACCGAGAGCCAGAATCAACCCTTTCTCAACTCATTCGTGTCAGGTGTTTCTGTTACAGCAACAAGAACAGTACAATCACGTACTTGGCAGAGTGCGGCCATGGCCTCAGTGATCCTGATGTCCTCCTCCTCCTCCTGGTCACTCCGTGTCAGCCGCTGCCTCTCCAGGACCTCATGAAAAGCCTGTAGTTAAAACAGGAACCAAGTACAGAAGAAAATTGCTCTCTTTGGTTTTTCTGCAAAACTCTCCCCAGATGACTGACATCTCTGCTGGGCCGAATATTCGACCCAATATAATGGTGAAGAAACTGAGGCACGGAGCTGCCACACGGCTTCAGTGGCTTGCAAACTGTGCCTGAGGCCAGTACTTCAAAGCCAACTCCCAGGAAGCCAGTCTGGGCCTCTGTTACAGTGAGGAGGCGTGTCCACCCCGCCACCTTGCTATCTCTTCCACGCCCTGTCGCCAGACAACACCCTCTCTGACTTCCTCTGATGGTGATCTACCATACCCAGGGGTCCTACCTGGGGACCTAGGGTAGAGCAGACAGGTGATTAGAGGCCTGTATGGGCCAGAAGCAGCCAGGCCCTGCCAGCCAGAAGTTGGACCCTGCCTCCAGGGAGCCAACAGAACAGCCGGACATGGAGCAGACTAACAGGTTATCAGAGGTTCCTACATAGCCAGAGGGTAGGGTAGGACACAAGGACAGAGAGTGGCTTCTCACAGTAAGGGAAGGGCACAGGGGCCATCCCATGAGGAGAAATGTCTAGATAGTCCATAAAAACGAGGGCTTGCGGGGGCACATGAGCCAAGGTCACCCATGCTTGAGCAGCAGCTATCACAACTAGATGCTTGTAGAGCCCTCTGTCTGCCTATAGGATGGTGTGGAGTGGGTGTGAGATGAGATTGGAGAGCAGGGACTAGAAATGGGCATCCTGAAGGTGGGCTGGAGCTCAGTGTCCACTCATTTGCCCATTCATTCATTCATTCACTCGCTATCTTTTGTCCTCTGAACACCAGCCATGTTGTCTCGTCCAAGCTGGATCTTGGGACATAAATGCCTATCACCTTGTCACATTTGGGGCTCAGCCTGAGCAGAGAGTTATCCGAAGGTGACAAGGAGCTGAGGCCTATCTTCTCTCCTTACTGTGGTTAATTTTCTCACCACCCCTTTAGGGTACACTCCTGACTCTTGGGCATGGCCCTAGCTAGAGCTAGAGCTCATGGGGAGTGGAAAGGGAGGGCGGGTCCTTGCTTTACCATGGTGCTTCTTCCTGCTGCACTGTCCTCATGGTCCTGTGGCTGTACTGTGGCCCAGCCTGTCCCACTGTCCCACTGGATCCCAGCTGCTCGTTTTCTCTCCAGAAAGCTGGCACATCGCTTCCTGCCCTCCCACGGGCCTCCTATCCTCTTCCTACTGGGACCCAGGGCATCTTCTAGTGGGGCCACCTTCCTGGTCCTGACCACTTGCCTGGCCAGAGTTGGGGGATGCTCCACTCCCATGGCTGAGGACAGTTCTGAAAGAGGCTTGGGCCTTACACACTTGGTGTGCCATGAGCCATCATTCTGGTATGTTTGCTACAGACTCCCCACCTTCTCTCAGCAGCCCAGCTTGGGATGCTCATCACTGACACGTGACAGAGGAATCGGGAGCCCAGAGACTGAGGGACTTGGCTATGGTCACGTGCCTGGCACAGGGAGGCCTGAGTTAAGGTCTGGTGGAACAGGCTCGGCTTGTAAGGGCACAGCACTGGGGACAGAGCAGGGGTAGAGTCACCTTGAGGAACTCCCCTGGGTCCGAGGTCAGCGGAGAACCAGCCAGGAAACTTCTCCGCTCTTCCTCCTGGATTTGTGTGAGCTCCGCCATCACCTCGGCCTGGTGAGCCAGAGACGCTTGGACCAGGTCTTTGCCCCGCTGCATGAATTCTGGCATTAGAAAGAACCACAGAACAGGAAGTGACTCTCTAGCAGGCCCACAGTGACCCGCTCCTACGACCTAACAGGCAGTCCCTTCACTGTAGGTCATAGACCTGTTTTCCTGTGCAGGTCTCATTGATGGTGACCCCAAGGATCTTGAACTTGCCTAGTCTACCTCCAGCTGGCCCTGTGGGCGGGAGCAGACATGGGGAACCTGTGTGGCATTCCTCCACCCATGATGACCTGGCTAACCCTCACTAGCTACCCTTCAGCTGGACACAGCTGGGGTTGTATGTGGTTAGCATGGACCACCCCTGAGCATTTCTGTGTCCATTCTGGTTGACATCCTCTCCCTTCCTCTGCTCCTTTGAATTCCCGGTGGTCCTGCCTTGACAATGAGGTCTTGTCAGCCTGGGTCACTGGGAATAGACAATGGCCCTGATCTCACACAGACTCTGATCACTCCGCTCTATAGAGAGGGAGGCCGGGCCTGACACATGCAGCCCATCCCCAGGACTAGCAGGGAAGGCAGCCCTGATTCAGTGTCACAGGCCATACTATGCCAGGTCCCCAACTCAGGCTCACTAGCTCACCCCTGCCAAAGCACTCTGCCTCCTCCCAGAAGGCCTTGTGCTGCTGGGTCAGAAGTTCCTCCTTCTGCCTCCCGGACAGCTGTCCCTGGACAGTCAGCAGCTCCAGACCACGGGAGATGGCGGCCAGCCGGCACTTGGTCTCCTCCTGGATCTGGGTCCTCAGGAACTCCACCATTCTCGCCATGTGGGCCCGACCCATTGTTCTCTCCAGGGCATCCTATAGGGAGACATGTGACAATGGCTGGGTGTCAGGGCCCTGCCTTGGTGGAGGAGGTAGTGGGCTCCAATTCCACACTCTATTCACGGTGAACTCCCTCTCCCTCCATCTGCATCTTAGGCAGAGATGGAAGCCTCCCCCATGCTTTCGGAGTCTGGGATAAGCCACTGGGCACTTAGCACCAGCATGCCTGCTTCTCTAGGGGGCTACTTCAGAGACCAGTCCTGTCCTGCTCTGAAACCTTTCAACCATTGTCCTCTAGGAAGCCCAGATTCTAGGACCCTGTCTCCCACACCTCTCTGCTCCTGGGTGTCAGCCTAAGATGGATGGAGATCTGCCAGAGCCCAAGCATCAGAGTCTTTAAAGCTCCCCAGAAAAGACCAATGTACAATTATCATTGAGAACCCTCATCTGATCAGCACCCCCACCATTGGATGGCGGGTGATGGATGGGTGGGTGGGTGGGTGTAAAAATGGGCAGACAGCTGGAGAGATGGCTCAGCAGTTAAGAACTTGTACAGCGCTCCCAGAGGACCTGAGTTTGATTCCCAGCACCCACGTCAGGTGGCTCACAATGGCCTGTAACTCTGGCTTGAAGGAAACCTGACACCTCCGGCCTCTGCAACCACATGTACACACACAGACACACAGACAGACACACAGACACACACAGACACACACAGACACACACAGACACACACACAGACACACAGACACACACACACACACACACACACACACACACACGCACACAAGCATGTGCGTACATGTATAATTTACAAGGGGCTAGAGAGATGGCTCAGTGGTTAAGAATACTTGTTGCTCTTGCAAAGGACATGCCTTTGGTTCTCAGTATCCACTTGGTGGTCTACAACCATCCATAAATCCAGTTCCAGAGGATCGTACCTGGTACATATACATACACTCAGGCAAAACAGTTGTACACATATAAAATAGATCCTTTTTTTAAAAGGGTAGATGATGAATGGTTGTGGGATGGATGGATGATTGATAATGGATAGATGGGGCAGATGGGGATGGATGATGGATGGATAGTAGGTGGATTCATTGCCCTTTTCTGGGGTGCTAATCCCCCTCTACAACATGAAGGTATTTGACCCCCTGATCCCTAACGTGTTTGAGTGTCTTCCCACCCCTTCTCATGCCCTGCATTACCAGGGCCTGCAGGTCCTGAGAATCACGCAACAGCCTTTCAGCCGCAATCATTCTTCCTGTCAGAGTCGTCATGAGCTGCCGTGCCTTGGAGCTGGAGCATTTCAACTGGTCCACGAGAATGGGCTGGATGCTTTCCATCTGCTTCCAGAAAGCTCCCATCTGTGAAATGAGCATGAGAAGCAGGCAATGGGGAACAATTTTACTCAAGAAAGAGCTCTAGCCAGCGCCTGAGAGGTGCAGCTCGTCCCTCATTCCCACCAGAGATTCTCCACCCTTCTGCAGTTGAAGTGGGTTTATCTTGGCAGTCATTGTGTCCTCTGGTGGGCCCCTCACTCTGCCCCAGCCACTGTGGGCATATGACAGAGGTGTTTTCAGCAAACACAGGGCATCACTGCCAATAAGGAAGTTATGAGCCCTGCTTAAGGACTCCACATAGGTCACAATTACTCCTTGGGAGCGCGAAATGTGAGACAATGAGACCCTGTGAGTTCCAGGATCTCTCCGAGGGATTAAATACGGCCTAAAATAAAAACTCAGGAGGCCGCTAACTATTAGTCATGTTCCAGAAGTACAAAAGAGCCAAATGGCAGAGAAGATGCTGACTGTGAAATTCTGCTTTTGAAACCCAGCTTCCCACGCCACATCTTAGTGGGACCGGAGCCAGGAATAGTCAGTTCACGGCTTGGGAACTTGGGGGCTTTCAAGTGTGACAACATGGCCGAGCTAAGCTTCAGCATCAAGGATGTCAGGAAGTCTGGTGGCTGTCCTTCCTGGCACGCGGGCTGTGTGTCAGCCGTGTGCCTTGCTTGCTTACTTCTGAATAGAACATATCCTGAGGCGTAGCAACAGGGCCAGGAAAAACCGAGGTGTCACAGAATGTGACTGTCACTGGCTGTATTTGGTTCAGATCCTTTTAGTCTACACTGATCCTGAAGGTGGGTGTCACCATCCTGTGGGCTGGATGTCCCAGAGTGAATAAAAAGGAGAATGCAAGGGGAGTGCCAGCATTAACTTTTGATACAATGTAGCCAGCTGCTTCAAGTTCCTGCAACCATGCCTTCAGCACTAGGGATGATATCCCTTTGAATTGTAAGCTAAACAAACCATTCCTCCATTAAGGCACTTACTAGGTAGGTATTTGATCACAGAGTGGAGAAAAGTAACTGTACCCCTTGAATGAATATTTCCCACAGCCTCAGGCATTTAAATGTTTGGTTCCCAGTTGGTGGCACTGTTTGGGGAGGCTTAGGAGGTGTGGCCTTGTATTGGAGGAAGGCTTTTAAAGACTTGTGGCATTTCTAGTTCTCTACTCTGCTCCACGCTTATGGTCCAGGGTGTAAGCCCTCAGCTTCCTGCTCCTGCCTCCTCTCTGTCATCAAGGACTCTGACTCTCTGAAACTGGAAGCCCAAATAAACCACTCCTTCTTTAAGCTGCCATCCTACCTCCCCGCTGTCCCTGGCTCGTGTCTGTTCACATATGGGTCAGCATCCCTTCTGACTGGCCTCTCTATGGCCCACGAAGGAGCCCTTTCAGATCCTGAAGGGAAAGAAACATGTCCCTCAATCATATCTCAGCCTCCCCCAGCACCTTTCCACAGCAGCATGGGAGCCAGGTGGTCCTCCTTGCTCACTGTGGCTGCCTCCAAGTCTCTTGGGCAAGGACTTGCACAAGCAAATCTGAATCCCCACTGCTCAGCACAGGAGGTGGCCAGGACACATCTGCTTCACAAAGATCCATGGCCAGGAGGCCACGGAGTCACAAAGAGAAAGCGGTGTTCCAAGGAAGCCCTCTTCTGTGACATGAGGAGCATGTTTCGTGAAGCTGAGGGTTGGAGACGCTCCCAGAATCCACTCTACTATAGAGTAGTAGTGACATTGACCGCTTATAGGAATCATGGCTTTCAGTGATTAAAATCAGCCAGCTGAAAACATAAGTGGATTAAAACTTCCCTCTGTAAATCTCCACTCTCAACTGTACCTTCTCTGCCATTGAACTTCGGAAACCAGGTCTCTGCCTCAGGATGGGACATGACAGTGTCCTCTTTAATCTCATCAACGTCACTGTTGCAGACACCAAGATCCCCATGGGAAGAGAGGGCAGCACTCACATTGTCTATGAGCTGCTCCGAGAGCTCTCTCTCCTTCCTCTCCACATCTGCCAGGGAAACGTAGCCGGGGTCACCGGTGCCCAACATTTCCGTGTTTGCCAATCTGGCCTGAAATCCCTTTTCTAACTCCTCCAAATCCTGGGGTGAAGGAAAAGAACAAAGACACAAAGAAAAAAAATCGTAAAACTCAAAGTTCTAGAAGAATAAATGTTCTTATATTTTTGACAAATATTTTATAAAAATGTATCTTAACAGTAATGAGAAGTTCTGGGCATTGTCTTAGGGTTTAATGCTGGGCCTGTTGTGTGAGCCTAGATATCTGAGTTTGCTACCCGGAACCCATGCAAAGATGGAAAGAGAGAATCGATTCCACAGAGCTGTCCTCTGACCTCTACTCACGCGCTGTGGCACACTCACCCACACCTACATCATCCATTCATACACATAAAGTTAGAATGTTTTTAAGATGTAAAGGTAAAAACTCTTTTACTTCATTAAACATTGGACACCAAGAATGAAGGTTGATTTTCTTCTACGTCCCCCATCCTCCTGAACCTATAGTCAGTACTTAGCAAACAATCAAATCATGTCTTTCAATCACTACAAACTCTTAGAAAATGGGTGTTCTAGGGGCTGGGCAGGAATATTCCTTCATAGGGTTTCCATGGGGAAGGATTATACACTACACCTCAAGGAGGAAATGGTAAGTACTTGGTGGGTTCAAGAGCAGGAAGTACAGCTCAGCTTGCCCAGCTTCTTTCTCCCTGGGACGCCATCTTCAGGGGAAGCCTTTGGTCCAGTGTGGTCTCAGCACCGTGAACAGGCAGCACAGGACCTGCTTCCATAAGGAGCCTTCCATGGTCCAGCTCTTCTTTTGACGAGGTGGGCAACTGTGTCAGTTCTTGGATTCAGTGTTAGGAAGCATCATCCTCCAGGCTGACAGCATTTCTAGATCTGCAGCTCACTCCATACTCAGGAAGGATCATGGGGTACTCCGTGTGGCTCCTTCAAACCCCAATGTGGAGGGGAGGAATGGTCCTTGCTTCTCTGGAGCTGTGTTCCCAGGTAACCAAGGAGATGTGGGGCCAACTTCTTCAGGAGATAGATTTAATGCTGAGACTACCCACCTGCAGATACCTCCTACTGAGACTACCAACCTCCCCCTCCTCTGATGGCCTAATAAATATGCTGAGGCTGCTGGCGGTAGTAGGTCCCATTCATCCGAGTGAACACACTCCCATCTGGTCCCAGCTTCCCTGTATGTGTGTCTGTCTTTTCTTCATCACCTTGCTGGCCCTAGTCAGGGTTCCAGGACCCAAGCTGTGGGTTACTGCAAGTGTTCTTTTTATATATGCACATACATTTTCACATGAGATCACACTGTGTTCAAATGTATATTATAAAAACAATTTTATACATTAAAGGAAAATATTTTTATGTGTATCATGATATGGTTTAGTATTTAAACATTTTATTGAGTTACCTTGAGATATAGACTAAAGACTTACATGCTCTTGCTTTGAAAGGATCTTCTGGTGTAGTTCATCATCAGGCTTCTTTTTAGGAAAAAGGTCCAGGAGGCACGATTTAAGAATCTGAATGAACATCTGTCAGCAGAAGGGAATGAGAGAAACATCTGAGAAGTGCCCTCCCTCCTGACATAGTTATTGCTGGAGGAAAGGATCTATATATAAAAGAGACTATATATCCTGGCCACCCCTGTCCTGGGCCGCGTTTTAGGAAGCTTCTAAAGAATATTTCTCCCCTCCCTTCCTTTCTTCCTCCCTTCTCCCCACCTCCCTGCCCTCTTCTCTTCCTTCTCTCTCCACTGACCCTCCGCTCCCCTCCTTACACTATTGACTTAGTGCTTACACTGTGCAGAGCCCTTCATGACCCCCATCTCCACATGGAGACTTGCTTCCTTGTAAGAGAGTTAGAGACACCTCTAAAGAATTGGGATGTGCAGAGCCCTCCCAGAATCCTATCTCCACAGGAGGAGATGCTCCATAAACCAAGAATGGTTCTCCCAGAATCGGGGGTTCCCAGGGAATCCTAGAGGGTACCATCTGGATGGTGTCTGGCCACTGCACTGTAGGACTCTATCAGCCCGGTATCATCACGGCCCCCTGTGGTAAACATTCATGCAGGGGCTGGTGCCAGCATGGTCTCTCTAGGATAGATAATCAAGGAAGAGCTACTGGTCCTCTGGACATCACATGCTTGGTTTTCTTAGAAGCGCTCGTACAGTTTTCTGCTCCCTCGGTGATACATGCAGTGTCTGGTCTCCCCACAGCCTCAGCCTGTGTGCGGCTGCTGTTAATGGCAGCTACTGACTTGTGTCTTCCCTTCACACAGTGCTCTCCCTACCCTGTGTCCTCAGCAGGTGCGGCCTGAGCATGAGCTCACCTCTAGATGGCTCCTATCCCCGATAAATGAAAGGCCAAGTCCTGTCAGTGGCAGTGAATGCTTCACCACACTCAGACCTCACCTCATCACTCTCGTTCCCACATCTGTTTTCACCCAGGTCTGTGCCCTTCACACATCTGGGGCTCTGTGCACACAGGGAGTCTCATATCCCCAACTGGTCCCCAGGTTAGGAAGAGAAGGCCAATGACTCCACCTACCAGGTGCTTCTCCTGTCTCAGCGCTGTGTCTACCTGAAGCAGGTCTTTCAGGTGGAGGCTGCAAACACACAGGTCAATATCCGCACTGATCCACCAGAGAGAAGGAGACAGGGGTCAAAGGGTAAGAAGCCAGGATGAGGAAAGGACACTGGTCTCTACTTGGTCTTTGTGGTGTATGTTTCCCCCCGTTCATGTTCCTCACATACACTCAGGATTAGAGAAGTCTAGACTGCTGCTGGAAGCCTCAGCTGAGGGAATAGGAAGTGTCAGGGCACAGCTTCCTGAGACATTGGAGACAAATGTTCCCAGAGAGAAAGCCAGAGGAGCAGGCTCGGTGTGTCCTCTCTAGTATGTTCTGTCACTGCAGGTCACCTTTCCTCAACACAGACAGCCTCAGGTCTGCGTGACAAAGTGACTTTGAGAGCAGAGGCCAGAGCCAGTAAGCACAGACACAGGTTGCCTTGGGGATCCTTTTCTTCCTCACAGACAGATGTATTTGAATGAAAACACCTATCCACACAGTTCTGTAGTCTGTAAGTGCAAATGCGAGAATGTGGTCCATGCTGGTCTCCCTAAACCCAGGGACACCTCCCCTGGCAACAAGGCTCCAAGCCCACTCATTCTTATTCTGGGGCCAGGATTGTCCCCTGTTGTGGTGGTTTGGATGAGAATGGCCTCCACAGGCTCACGTGTTTGAATGCTTGGTCCCCAGTTGGTGGAACTGTTTGGGAAGGATTAGAAGGTGTGACTCTGTTGGAGGAGGTGTGTCATGGGAGCATACTTCGAGTTTTCAAAAGTCCACACCATTCCTTGTTACTTCTCTCTCTGCCTCCTACCTGCAGATAAGGATGCACACCTGTTGTTCCAGTTGCCACACCTGCCTGCCTGCTGCCTGCCCTGCTCCCAACCTTGGTGGTCCCGGACTCTAACCCTCTGGAACTGAAAGCTTCAACGAACTCTTTCTCCTGTAAGTTGCCTTGATCACGTATCTCAGCACAACAATAGAAAAGTAACTAAGGCATCCAGGGATTCCTGGGACTGCAGTGGAACAGAGGCCTGAGGACAGCTGCCTGTCGTACCCCTGTCCGCAGACCACAAAGTGAGTATGGTGACATGGCCCCCGAGCCTCACAGATAAGGTGGCTTATCACTCAAACCTGCCTTATCACTCACTGCGGTGTGAATTTGGCAAGCTATTCAGCCTCTTTGTGTCCTTTCACAAAGTAGAGGAAATATCACCTGGTGTTTATGGATCACCAAACCTGGTCCAGGCCCCTCTGCCAGGCAACGGAGATAGAGTGATGAGCAACAGTGATCACCTCAGGTTCCTGCAGGTGCTGCAAGCTTTGCCCAAACTCCCGGGTGTTTGCTGCACTAAAGTTTGGGACACATCAGTGCCCAAACACCGCTCTCTGGTCACCTCTCTCCAGGCCTCAGGCTCGGCTCTGTATCCCCAACATTGACCCATGCTGTGTGGCCAGCAGTCAAAGTATCGTGTCCCCAGCTCTGACAGTGTGCTTCTGTGTGTCCATGGCTGGGTCATTTCACTTTTCTGGACCTGGTTCCTCCTCTGCCTCACCCACGGCAGCTCCACTGTCCCCCGTTTGCTCCTTACCTCTCACAGGCCAGCACCTCAGGGAAGCTGCCCACCCGGAGGAAGGCACAGTGGAGGAGCCTGTCGTCACTGTAGGCTGAGTGCATGCTGGAAGAGGAGCTGCCATCCTCCTTGCCAGCCTGGCTCAGGCTGCCCAGGCTGCTGGCTGGTGAGGCCTCTGCTGGCTGGTGGGGTAGGTGGGGCAAGATGGCTGCTGCCTGTGTCAGGTTTTCATGCAGCGACGGGTGGGAGGATCCATCAGCCAGAGGCTGGGAACAGAGGAGACTTGACTGAGCTGACCATTGGGGTGAGTGTGCACAGACCAAGCTCTGCCCCAGGACGATGGTCAAGCCCACACCCGATGGACTGAGTCAGGGCTCATCTGTTTCTCGCACTTGCCTCCGTGAGGCCAGCCCTCTGTACCAGGCTCCTGCTCTGGAACCATTAGGATCTGTTCCGAAGCATCTCTGTACTCGGTGCTCCCATCTGCCCAGCCCATGACGACCTCTGGAAAGCAGCCTTCCCTCCCTCGTCTCTTCTGTGGCTGGCTCAGCCCCCAGGAGCCCTTTGGACGACGTGTGCTAAGCCCCTGCCTTGATGAAGGTCATTCCCGCCACAAGCCTTGATAGCCATCTGGCAGGCCCTTGTCTCCTAACTAAACCCAGTGTGGGACTAGTCACAGTCTGGTCCCTGGGATAACTGGAAGTGCTCAGGTCTCTGTCTAGCCTTGTCACTTGCCTCTGAGCCTACACAGGCTGAGCTGGCCCCTGCTCCTACCTCCTCATGTCCTGCTTCTGGACCTTTCTAGATTGAGCTGCCCTGCTGGACTTTGCCTTTGCTGGGGCTTGCCTTCCTGGAGGTCTGCTGGGTTGCTGAGGTCTCTGGCCATTTCTCTATGGCTGCTTGCCTGGCTATGGGACTGGGGATCCAGGGAACCTATAGCAACCCAGAAACACCTTTGGCTGCTCAGCTGGCCACAGCATATTGACATACAAGTGCCTTCCACCCACCTGACAGACAGTAAGGAGCTGAGTGTAAGCTTTCCACAGTGTGCTGGGGAAACAGGTTAGTCAGCCATGATTGTAACTGGCCCAGCAGAGGTTTAGATTTCTCCCAACACCCACTGTGTGTGTGTGTATGTGTGTAAGTGTGTGTGTGTGTGTGTGTGTGTGTGTGTGTGTGTGTGTGTGTTGGCCAGAGGTCAATCTTAGCAGTCATTCCTAGTTGTTCCTATTGAACTTGGTTTTTGAGGCAGTTTCTCCTACTGGCTTGGGGCTCATGGGTTGGCTAGGCTGGCTGGACAGTGAGCCCCAGAATCTGACTGCTTTTGCATCCCCAGTGCTAGGGTTATAAGTGCACATCACTACATGCAGCTTTTTATACAGAGATTCTGGGGGCTGAACTCAAGGCTTGGTACTTGCAAAGCGCACACTGTACCGACTGAGTCGTGCATCTCCCACCCAGTCCATCAGAGTCCTGAAACAACAGTCCTCAAGGAATTAGACTTTCTCCAGAAAGTCTACACCAGGAGGAGGAAAGGCTGAAGTCAGCCGGGGAAGATCGTTTCCCAGAAAGAGGCATCACACAGTTCTGATGACCTGCCAGATCTTGTAGGAAATGGCAAGGCTTCAGTGATGGGTCAGAGATGGGTGGGGGTGGGGCCACACCATAACCCAGACTGCTTCGTTATGCAAACCTCTGTCATAAACATAAACCTCTTGTCAGGACCCTGAAGATGGACTTGCCTGGGGTGAGCATGGTGTGTGTGTGTGTGTGTGTGTGTGTGTGTGTGTGTGTGTGTGTGTGTGACCACAATGAATATGTCCCCTTTCTCTGTTCTTCATGGCTGATGTCTCTTTAACTGGCTTCCTGAGGATGGGTAAACTCAGTTGTTGGCCTACCAGGGCCCAGGCTCTGACCCTAACAACTCCAGCAGCACAAACAGATGCTGCTCATCACAAGGCTTCCACAGGGAGAATCTGGGAACACCCTCTGGTGCAGGAAGTCGCTGACTGAGCAAACCATGGTTCTGAGCCCTTCCACACACTGTCTTGCCTGAGGTCCAAACAGCTGGTGAGGCAGAAGTACATACATACACACACACACACACACACACACACACACACACACACACACACACACCATTCCACAGCACAGCAAGAAAGTGCCCTGCAGGAAAGGCTGAGTTGGGAGTCGGAATGGCACCCTACAGACTCAGAGCATATTTTCCTGAGTATCAGGATGCCAGTCCTTACCAAACACTCTTGGCCAGGACACTGTCCACAGGACACCTCATGGGCTCAGCTCCTCCATCCATTATAACTGCTTTCTGCATAGAGACTCCAGCCAATGGTCCCTGGTCACAGTCATGGGTGCAAGACCTGTTGTCAAGTGTGTCAGGTAGATCTAGCCTCCTCCTGCATGTAACCTTGAACAGCCCATTCCCTTTTTGGAAATGCCACAAAGTGGAAATGCCAACTGTGTGATAATCTCTCAGCCCAGTATAAGTGTCTAGGAAGTATAGCATCTGGCATTAGCCCTGAGCCATATGGACAGAGACAAGAGCTGGGGTCTGAGGCACCCGGAGGGAGGCTAGCAACCCACTGTGGGGGTCGCTGCCATCCCTGCAGATCAAGCAGCTGTAATTCCTGACCTTTTTTGTGGCCTCCGTGTGCCCACACAGAATGGGTCAACTCTCATGTTTTGATCCGTTATACACCAAACTTCCAGATAGGACGGAAACCCACATCTGATCCCTGTCCTCCCATGGAGCCACACCCATTATGGAGTAAACTTCACTGCTAAGTGCTCACCCGGAACTTCTGGTTGATGGGATAGACAACCCTGGCTTTCAGTGCAAATGCAGTGATGTTGCCGCTCATGGATGGCTCACACTCCTGCAAGGAAGACAGAGAGTGAGTGGCACGGTGAGTTTTCTGCCATGTTAAGGATAGATGGTCACGAGTCTCCAAAATGTCCCATTCCACCTGCAAGAGTGGCCACAGGAGGGAACCATGACAGGGCCATTTGGATTCTTGCAAGAAGGATGGATGTCTGGATTGATAAATGATGGATGCAAAAATGAACAGAATAATTGAGGAATGGATGGATGAATAGAACGGTGGATCTACCAGTGGGCGGGCAGAGAACAGGTGAATGGACAGATGGGTGGGTGGATGAAGGATGGAGGTATGAATGTGTGTATGTACATATGTATGAATGTATTGATGAAGGGAGACATGAATATATGTATGTATGTATATATGTGTCATAGTTACTTTTCTTTTACTGTGATGGATGTCATGACCAAAGCAACCTGGGGGAAAAAGGGTCAATGTCACCTCAGATATTATAGCCTATCATTGAGAGCAGTCAGGGCAAGAACCTGGAGGCAAGAACAGATGCAGCTGGGCAGTGGTGGCACACGCCTTTAATCCCAGCACTCGGGAGGCAGAGTCAGGTGGATCTCTGTGAGTTTGAGGCTAGCGTGGGCTACCAAGTGAGTTCCAGGAAAGGTGCAAAGCTATACAGAGAAACCCTGTCTCAAAAAACCAAAGAGAGAGAGAGAGAGAGAGAGAGAGAGAGACAGAGAGAGAGAGAGAGAGAGAGAGAGACAGAGAGAGAGACAGAGAGAGAGACAGAGAGACAGAGAGAGAGAGACACAGAGAGAGAACAGATGCAGAGACCAAGAAGGAGCACTACTTGCTGCCTTGCTTTGTGAAGCTTGCTCAGCTCATTCGGCTTTCTTATACACCCCAGGACCACCTGCCCAGGACTGTCACCACCTACAATGGGCTTGACCCTCCCACATCAATTACCAGGTAAGAAAATGCCTAACAGGCTTGTCCACTGGCCAGTCTGGTAGGGGCATTTTCTCAATAGAGGCTCCTGATTCCCAAATGGCTTTTGCTTATGTCAGGTTGACATAAAATTAGCCAGCACAGTATGTATAGATAGGTAGATAATTGGATGGAGCATGGACTTATGAACAGATATGTGGAGTGTGGCTGTATGAATAGATGGAATAATTTGATGAATGGATGAATGAGCAGATTTGCAGGTGAGTGGATTCATGAAGAGATGAATGAATGGAGGGGTGGGTGGGTAAATGGATGTGCGGATGGGTGGACGGATAGGTGGATGGACAGATGGATAAATGGACAAATAGATGGATACATAGATGAATATTTGGACAGACAGACACTATCATTTAATTCTGATTCTTCAGTGTTAAAGTAATTAGGCTTTTAATACCTCGAGACAGATTAACAAGCATCTTTTGAAGGACTATGGGTCATCTCCAATGGGAAAACAACCACATGGTGTAACTGAGCTTTGAGCATTAGACCTCACATTCCACAGTGCAGCAGGGTCTCTGTATCTGACAATTCATAAATTTCAAAGCAACTGGATGAGTCTGAACTTTCCAGATTCACAGAGGTGACAGATGTGATAGTATGCAAGTCACATGTCACATGTATATTATCACACTGCATTCCAATGATGAAGATGATTATACATGCCAATTAAAATGTCAAAGTGTGGCACTGCAGGGTAGAAACACACAGGCAATATTCACATGGGGTTTTGGAATAGAAACTTAAACAAGAAAGGAATGGTTGGGTCAGCCTCAGTCTGTCCATATAATCAACGCATGGAGAGTCTAATAAAATAAAAGATAAGAGGCATAAGCTTCCAGCCGACTTCCTGGGACTGAGAAGACACTAGACACTGGACAGCTGTAGCACTGGTGTTCACCAGATCCTCAGAGCCCAGCGGGCATTGCCTCCAAGAAGCCACCTCTGATGCAGTGAGAGGGACCAAAATACTACTCACCCTGTTCCCTGGCATGCTCTGCACTTCTGCTGAGGGTTTTACTAAGTTGTGCAAGCTGGCTTTGAACTGATGATCCACCTCGACCTCCAAGCAGTGGGGCACCAGGCAGGTCTGGTGGTCTTCTTCAGTTCAAAGTTTCATGTAACAGAGGTGGAAGGGGAGGGAAGGAAAGGGGGTGAAATGGGAAGAAGGTATGGTTTCTCTACCCAATGGAATGCAAACACACACTGCAGAAGTGTGAAGGACAATGAAAGGGGCATGTATGCCTGTGCAGGAGGCAGGCAGAGTTGGGGTGCCTGTGGAGGCAGGCATGATTGAAAAGCCTGGCTGAGACCACTGGGAATAGCCCTGGCTGTGTGAAGCTCTACCTGAGAGGATGCCTAAGTAGCTGCCTGTATCTCGCAGGACTGGAGGGGAGGCCTGCCCTGCTTTGGCTGGGAGGTGGAGGGCAACAGAGCCCTAGGCCTGTGGAGGCAAGCACAGGCAACTCCTGCCACCCAGACAGGATCCAGAGACCTCAGCTTTTCACAGATCTCCTCGCCGAATCTTGATGTTCCAAATCTGATGGTTTCCCCCAAGGAGATGCACTGATCCAGGAAATGGGTTGCTGTGCAAAGTTACAAGGTAGAACTTCAGCCCAAACAAGGCAGTTATTCAGAAAACGAGCCAAGGTGTCACTGTAGGGAGAGAAAAACTGTTTTCCCCATGGACACAAAGGTGTTCTTTTCAATCGTGCCCAGCCACCTCCACAGGCCACATCCCTTCTCTTCATTAGCAAAAACAGAAGATGCAGGCTGTGGGTCAGCAGGCCTCAAAAGCCTTCTGGAAGGTTCTGTGTGTTTTAACCAAAGGGAGCTATTCATTAAACAGAGTTCGTCTAAGTAGCAGCAGGACAGATCACAAGGCTGAGGTTCTCTGTGCACAGGAGAGGTGGCTGGACCCACCAGGCAGACACACGGCTGCACAGGCAGATATTTAACTCAGCTCTGGGCAATCATTAGCCTGGTCATGGGCACCTGGCAGGCACTGAGGGAGGTGGCAGGCTAAACCTCACTGGGCTGAAGAAAAATGAGGTAATCTCCCACCACTGTAGCACTGATGGAGTACCTTCTGAGACAAGGATGCCGGCATGACCCTGGGGACCCTGTGGGGGACTTCTGTGACTCTTGCAGTGAGGAACCTGAGGCCCAGACAGGTTATGTGCCCTGCCCAATACCACACAGCAAATGTACAGCAGAGCTGGCATTGGTCCACACTAGGTCCCGAGGTTAGTGTTGTTTCCATGGGATCCAAAGCCACCTTACATGTGAGTGAGGGCATTTGTTTGTTTCTTTTTATTTATTTATTTTTAACAGTTTTATCAATACAGAACTCATGCCCTACACAGCTCACACTTTTGTTTTATGTAACCAGCCGTCTTCAGTGTTTCCCCAATACAGGAAGCATCACACGGCAGTTTCAGAATGGTTCATTGCGGCAGAGAACCCTGTGCTCTCTAGTGATCGCCCACTTGCCTCATCCCTGAAAACCACTCAGCTGCTTCCTGTCCACATAAGTTTCCCATGCACGGGATCCTTTCATTCCAGGTTCTGCGCATGACTGGCTTTCGTCACTTTGGGTAACAGTGGCCAGGCTTACAGTGCATATCAGCACTGTACTCCTTTTCACGTCCAATAACATTCAACATGGAGAGATCACAATTCTGCTTTTGTCTGAGTCTTGGTTTCTATGTGTAGCCCAGGCCAGGCTCAAATTCACAATCCTCCTGCCCCAGCACAAGTGCTGAGATTATAGGTGTAGTCTACTGTGTCTAGCTGACAAACAAATATCCATGCATTTCTTGGCTGATGGTCGTTTATGTTGTTTCCAATCTGGCTGTTGTGGACTGAGCTGGACATCCGTGTACAAGCATTTGTGTGGACATAGTTTTCCTGTCTCTGAATGGAATTTTAATGTAGGGAGGGGGCAAGGCAGTCAAGAGAAATGAAGGAAAAGAGAAAGACAGAGATACCACACACCCACAAACTCTGACACACATTGTCCCTGGGACCCAGAGCGTCACCAGGCAGAGAAGGATGCAAAGCCCTCCACAGAGAGACAAACACATATGCAGAGACAGAGACACCGAGACACGAGAGCAAGGTTTAGAGATACACAGCATGGTGGAGGGAGTGCAGCCCTGGGGTTCCCAGGACCTTCAGGACCAGCAAGGCTCTCTCTTCACCTCCACGGCCTCCCTGAAGCTCTGAGGTCCAGGGTCTGCAGGCTAGGCCCGTCCCCAGGAAAGAAGTGTGGTCCCTGGAATCTTTGGGAGGCACAGGCCACAGGCAACTGGGGACAACAAGCGGCCACCCTGCTTTGATTCCTCACCTTTGGAGAAGTTTGCTTTGAAGCCCAGGCACTCTATGTGGCCAGCAGAGGGTCCCAAGCAGGGAGGAACCTGGGGCACCAGGGCAGGGAGAGTGGGGGAGGGCAGCAGCGCTCGCTCTGCAGGAGCCAGACAGACCCAGGGGCACATCTGAGCTTGGCCACCCCAGTTTGAGGATCTGGGAAGTGGCCTCTCTTTGAGCCTCAGTTTCCTCATCAGACTATGAAAACAAAAAGGAAAACTGAAGAGAGAGTTATGAGGACACCAATCCACCAGACCAATGACCCCACCTCGACTTAAAGTATACAGTGTTTCCCGGGGGCACCAGGGAATGTCAAGTGATGTCCCTCTGTCCCTACTGAGGGAGCTCACCCTGGCCACGCTGCATGGGCCAACTGGAGCTGGACAGAGAGGACCCCAGAGAGGGAGAATCCATCTTCTAGGATTGCTGCCAGGCACCCAGCTTTCCCTTGGCTGCCTATTTACTAAGAGTAGTAAAATTTAGCTGGAGACTAGAACGGGCTCAACTGATAGCAGCTGGACTCTGGCAACAATCAGTCCATCAGCCAAACACTCAGGAGGCGCTGGGTGGCTAGCAGTGGTGTGCTCACGATGGTTCTCCAGTGCCTAGGAAAGGGGACTGAGTGTGGCTCTGCAAAGAAATGGACCAATGTTTGTTTTGGAAATTTTATCTGTGTTGTGGTCTGATGTCCAGTGGAGTAGAGCATTGGTTCCAGAGGAGGGATTCCGTCAGCGGGCCAGAACGGATCATGGAGTTCCCTGGTGGACTCAGGAGAAGGGAAAGAGAGGCCTTTGGAAGAGGAAAAGATGGGGCGAAGGTGTTGCATGGTTTTTTGATCCCGGAAGTGGACTGCAGCAGCGTGTCATAGTCATAGTTCTCTCAGGTTTTTATCCTTAATATTTGTCCCTGAGTTTTATTTTTCAATAAATGATAACAGAAATCTCAATAAATGTTGGTAGCAGTGTGTGGTGGGAACTGAGACACAAGGGAACAGGGCATCCTCCACGCTAAACTCCAGCCATCCCATGGTCATGCAAACCCTACCTGGGGTGGCTTCTTGAATAAGTGTGACCAGAGACAAGTACTAGAGAGCTTTCTGGGGTGTTGGGGTTTTAATGACGAGGGAGCATACCTTTGTCAAAACTCATCCAACTGTGGATTTAAAATCTTACTGGAAATAAATCAGTCTTGTAGCATGACACCTTGGCTTCCAGGAAGACAGTCCCACACCCAGCGTGTGTCCACAGAAGCACACAGACCCAGACTAACCTCAGGAGCATCCTCATCCCGGGAAGTTGTCGTCTCTCTCTGGCGCCTCCTGACCCGGGAGCCAGTGTCTGGCAGGCTCTGTGCAGTGGGCTGGGAACTTCTGAGCAGACGTTGCGTGTCATCTTTCTGAAACCCCAAAGGGGTGGAGAGAAACCAGAAGCTGAAGCCCATCAGCCTTGTCTGTCCCCACCCAAGTCACCTCTGTTCACTACGTACCCTTCCTGCCTCCTCTGCCCACCAGGCATTGGCTACCGTCCTTACAAACCACCCAGGTCACCCACGTCATCTTTCTATGAAATCCCCTAAGGTGCCTATCTCAGTTGTCCCCAAGCGGAGTCTTGTCCCAGGAGTGGCCACACTGGGAGAGAAGCCTGCAGTGTTTCTCAGTTTCTGTTCTATGTCCACTTCTGTAATGGATAAAACGCTCAGACAGAAGCAGCTGCACCTGCGTGCACTCAGCCCTCTCTGTTCTTGATTGTGCTCTGACTAGCTGCTTCAGGTTCCTGCCTCGACTCCTGCATGGTGATGGACTGCCCTGGAGCTGTAAGCTAACATAAACCCGTCTCTCCCTAAGTTGCTTGCTCTCAGGTTTATCTCATCACAGCAACAGACATGAAACCAAAACAGAAATTTCAGTCCCCAAGGGCCACCCCTTCACAGGTGGTGTGCAGGTAGTATTTTCCATGCTGTTCTCAGTAAAGCCACTGGGTGATTTTTTTAAATCATGATCTTGGTTACCTTCAACAGAGGAGTGATATCTACTGCGGACTACAATCAATGGACATGCAATTTGCAACCCCACTTGGCAGATGTCAACACTGATATTCGCAGGTTTCATAGCTATTCATGGACGTGTGAGCAGTGGAAGGCACCCACGTGCATATCTGTGTGGATTTGAGCACAGCAAGACCCGCGTCACTTTTCCCACTCTCCTTATCAAGTAAAACTTCCCTGCCGCAGCTGTGTGTCCAGCTTCCTGCCTGTTGTGCTTCCTGTGCCTGGGGGGGTTGTGACCCTGAAGCCCTGTCCAGCATTCTGAAGTACTGTAGGGTCATGATGTACCCCACAGAGAAGACCCTTGTGAGAGAGGACCTGCCCACTGCTGGAGTTCTGGGGCTCTTTGCTTTGAGGTCCATACAGAGAATTAACAATATTTAGCCAACGAGATTTCCTTAAACAAATATGGGTCAGTCTTGAAGGTGGGCTGACAGAAAGAGAGGCTCAAGAGACTCCAGGCAATATTCTCTAGGGAAACGTTTAGTGCTCACCTGTTCAGAGCAGGCATGAGGACACAGTTGAACCCAGAATCATGCCAAAAAAGCCAAGTATGAGAGTATACACTCTCAACCCCAGTGCAGGGAAGGAAGACACAGGTGGCCAGCCAGCCTAGCCTACTTCCTAAGTTCTAGGCCAGTGAGAGACTCTGTCTCCAAAAAACAAGGTGACTAGTACCTTAGGAATGACATCAACGTTGACCTCTGGCCTTGACATAGCACACACATGTGCACAGGTACCTGCATATATACACGTACCTGCACACACATGTACACACAACCACATGGGGGGCAGCAGGATGATTCAGTGGATAAAGGCAGTTGCCACCAAGGTTGATGACCTAAGGACCGTCTTCTGAACCCACGTGGTGGGAGGGGAGAACAGATTTGGGCAGACTATCCTCAGATCTCTACAGGCATGCTGTGGCATGTGTGTATGCTCAAGAACATTACCCCTCCTCCCCCCCACCCCCGACACATACAAATAATTGTATTAATGCACTGGTGATCTGGTTGTGCACGAAATTAGTCAGGGCTATGATTCAGCATCCACTGTGTTCTCAGCCTTGTTCCAGACCCTGGAGGGAAGCCTCATAGACAAAGTTTGTTTGAGAAGAAACTTAAAGGAGGGAACAAGCCTATGAGGTCCCGGGAGGATGAGAAAATACCTGCAAAGGATTTGATACAGATACAGGTCTGGCAATGTGAAGATGTCCGGAAGCTCACGTGCCTGGAGCAGGGATGGGTCTCTGGGCAGAAAGGACAGATATATATATATAGCTCAAAATTTCAGGATGCTTCCCCTCTCCCCAATTGTTGCTGACTGTAAGAGGGAGGGACTACCCAGTCAAATGAGACTCACTAAAGACCTCGGGAGAAAAGCCACCCACCCTGCAGAGGCAGAAGCAGCTTTCTACTTCCACACTTAGAAGTGGCCATGAGGCCAAGCGTCACAAGAGATCTGGGGACAAACTCTAACAAGAAGAGCAAAACCCGAAACAAACAAAAGGAACAGCTGCTGGAGGTGGGGGCTGAGGAAACACAAGACAGACAGCACAAGACAGACAACAGATGATTACAGTGTCCTCAGCGTGGAGAGGCATTCTGCTCACTAACGGGCAGTTTAGGATAAGAACGGAGGACTCAGGGAACAGAAAAGAACTCCCGAAAGTCAAACTATAAAGTACCAAATGACAAGAATAAAACTGAGCAAAGCCTCCCAGCTTCATATATATGTGTTATATATGCATGTGTATGAATGTACATGTGTGTAACACACACAAGCACACTCACACACACACATGCACACACACACACAATATCCATCCAACAGTTCAGGACTGCTCACAATGGTAGCTGACTAGCACAGAGGATTATAGGGAAAGAGACTTGATAACGGAGACATGTTATCAATCCAGACATGTGTGAGTTCTTGAAAGAAGTGAGGGATGGAGAAAAATAACCCTCAACCAAACATGTTTCTAGATGGAGAGAGGAGGTCGGGAAGAAGTCAAAGCTGCCAGAATCCAGAATGCCCAATGGGTCTCATCACAAGTGATCAGATGCCTGCTTCTCCGTGCCAGGAGTCTCCCCAATATCCCATGCCATTGAAACAGTTGTCAAGCACAGTGTCCCTTGGCCACTCCCGGACATTAGACCATACTCTTGTTGCACTGCCAGGCTGCTTAACAACCCCCCCCCCCCCCCCCCCGCAAAATTGGCCAACACATGGAGTCAATTCAAAGCTGTTTGGAGAGTTCAGAGCCTAAGGCAGAGGGCCTAGCTCAGTGCCTGGAACAGATAGCTCTCAAGAAACGCTGGCCTGTTTCTACTCCACCACAGCACCCATCCGGTCAGGTTATAACCAAATGCTGACTGGAAATGTGTCTTTCCTGCTCACCCATGTGGCATTCAGGACCCTGGGTCAGTGACCCCTGGCAAAACATCCTCAGTCCACTCCCAGAGGAGGTCAAGCAGCTCCACAACAAGAAAGAGGGAGTGGGGGCATCTGGGTGCAAACACTAACCCTCCTTTCCCCTATACTGAGCTGGGCGCATCTGCTGGGATCATGCCCAAACTTCTAAGGACACCCGAGGGCATGGAGGCCCAGAAGGGCTTGGGGTGTGTGTGTGTGACAGCCTTTCTGAGGATTCCAGGCCATTGCCTTTAGGCCACTCACTCTAAGCCCTTCCTCAGAAAGCCCTGACCACGATTTTCCTAGAGTAGGAGGCTGTGCGCAATCGCACTCAGGAGATGCAGCACTGGGATCCAGAGAACGCAGGCCAGGACCCTACCCCTACCAGAGGAGGAGTGAGCTCGACCCTCCCGCTGGGACCCACCTGGAGCCGCGAGCGCAGGCGGCTGGAACGGCAGTTTATCCACAGGCCAAGGCCCAAGCCGAGTGCCGCGCCCAGCAGCACAGCGGGGACCAGCAGAGCGGGCGCCACCTGCAACGCTTCCCGGTCCAGTTGCAGCCGTGCATCGCTCGTGCAGGCCATGGGGGCTCGGGCGGGTGACCCGCTGCATCCCGCCACCAGCCAGCTCTGCGCCTCCTAGCCCTTCTCTGCTGCGCCAAGCAGTGGGAGGAGCCTGGACCCGTGGCCCCAAACTTTCAGCCATTCCGGGAGATTCCCTATCGTGCACTGAGCATGCGCAGCCTAGGCGCGCCGTTCCAGCCGGAGGACCCAAATGTAGGAGCAAGGGAGCATCCCTTCTTCTAGTCCTCGGAGCAGCAACAGCTCTGCGGTCAATGAGCGCCCAGGCTACCCCAAGCCACGGCCTGGCAACCCCATTAAGCCCAGCAGCACTTCCTAGGTTGCTGTTGGCCTGCCCCATCTGACTCCCGCGCTGCTCCTGGGGCTGGTCCGTCTTCTCTAGGGGCCACGCAGCAACAGCAGCCTCCGCACTTGATCGCTTGAACACTCCTTTTAATCCTGTATCTCCGGGAGAACGATTCTACTCTAGGAGAATGTGTGGAGCGAATGTCACATTCGGGCCCCTCTAGAACCCAGACGTCTCTTCATTTTGTCATTCACTGTCCCACGTGGGCAGGACGGGAGCCAGCATTCAGCTTCTTCAAAGACAAACTGACAAGGGAGGTGGCTTGTTCAAGGTCTGATAGCTCAGAAGAAGTTGGTAGTGTCTGTCTGCGCACACCTATAGCTTGAGGTCACACACCTGTTATGAAGACCTTCCTGTTTCCTCAGGGCATCTCTGGGAACATTTTCCTGGTAACAGCCTCATGCTGCAACTTTGTGTTTATTTGGATGCTCAGGCCCGAGTTTTAAAAACATACAAGACCAGGCAGCGGCATACAGCTGTGGTCCACGGGCCACTCAAGCTATATAGGAGGCAGAGGCAGACCGGTTTAAAATAATAGATCCATGAAAAAATGAACGCTGCTTGTGTTTTGACCTCTAAAGTCGCGTGTTAACAATGCCCTCCGTATGCCTAGCAGCTCTCAAGGGTGCAGTGCTTGGTGTGAGAGGCAGGACTAGGACCTGCCAACTCATGGCCTTATCCAGGTGTCAGGTCAAGAAAGAAGTGTGTGTGTGTGTGTGTGTGTGTGTGTGTGTGTGTGTGTGTCATCGGAGGTGTGGAGAAGCTGGTGCATGGCTCCTGGGCAGCTGCCCAGCAGGATAACTCACAGGAGACCCTGTCCCTGTGACGGGGATGGGGTGACGTGGGGGTCATCAGAGCCCAGAAGACAGGCTACCCTCCCAGCTCCTCCCTCTTGGGATACAGGAAAGCACTATGTATGCGCAGGGGCTTTCAGCCCAACTTACTCATTGGCCAAGTGATGGCTTCACTGTCGAAGGGGTGGCTGGGTAGGTCCAGGGAGATTCCCCCAAGCCCCGCAGAGTGTGGGCGCTCCGCTGAGATTGGGCTGAGTTGGACCCCACTAAAGGTGAAGTCCACCCTTTCTTCTTTGCCCCACCCCTACTTCCCTGCTCCCTGCTGTCTCTTAAGTGACCTTGGCTTTCTAATGCCTCTCAGGTTTCTAACCCGGCTGCAGTGATAGAGCCTGGGAACTCACAGTGTCTCCGGGAATTCTTACTGCAAAGAATGAGCTGAGATCTAGAGAGGCAGTGGGCATTAGCGGGAACCCTTGTCACCCTCAGGGAAGAAGAGTGGCGGGTGATTTGGGGTGGGGCGCTAAGGCGCTGCGCGGCTCCCTCCTACGCGGCTCCAAACTCCAGATGCCAGTGTTCCAGAAAACTTTCCAGGCGGCTCTCACTGAGCATGCTCCGTGGCGGGGCGGGCCCGGGGTCCGGAAGCTCCCGGACTCTGCGGGGCCTGTGTGGGGTCTGCAGCCACCAGATGGGGGCGACCGGTCCCACGGGCGCCCGGGGACGAGCCACATGGGTGCTGGCTGGGGGCGTCCTGGCCGCGGCCCTGGTGCTGGGCGCGGGTCCCCGTGCTTTCTCGCCCGCCTTCCCTGCACTGGGCCCAGGGTCGCCGTCCAGACCGGGCCCCGCGGGACCCCAGCCAGGCTTGCAGGTAAGGGGGGCGGGCGCCTTGGTCTGTCTACACCCCTTGGAAGAGTCCCGCCCTGTGGGGCACAAGATCAAGTGGAGGGAGCGGCTGCCTGGTGGTGCCTCTTGGCGCATTCTGTATGTACTGTGGAACTGGAACTCCAGGACCGGTGGAACCTCAGACTTGGTAGGCATGGGCTTTTAGGGGTTCGAATACAGGTCTGCATCCTAGGAGTTACGTATCCGAGGGCAAATCACTTTGTAAGTCTCCCTTTCTCCAGCCACTAGGACCCAGGTCGTCGGAAGTCACCCTACAATAGGTTAGTTCATGTATATAAGGGTGGCAGTGTGGTGAAAAGGCTGGGAAGATGGCTGGGTTTTTACCTGTCTCAGCTCTCCGGGGTGGAGTAGGCTACTGGCCCTGTTTGTGGTTCCAGAATTGGAAAAGCACAGACTCCCCACTTCCCCGTCAGCCCCTCTCCCCAAGCTGGTCCAAAACCCTCCTGCTTTCTGCTGAGGACCAACTTACACACTCTCCTCCCTGCCCTCTGCTATCCCCCTGTCACGGCCTATCACCTCTGGCTCTTGGCCACCTTTCCCCTGCGTCTGCATCCATCCCCCTTAATTTATATCCTACCTTCTGCTGGTCCACTTTTCTAGTCTACCTGATACAACCTAGAATGACCTGGGAAGGCTGTTTCAATGAGGGACTGCTTAGATTGGTCTGTGGATATGGCCTGTGGTGAGAGTGGAGGGCTGTCTTGACGGGGGAAGACCCAGCCCACTGTGGGCAGTGCCATTCCCTGGGCAGGGGGCCTTGACCTCTGTAAGATTAGAGAAAGCAAGCTGAATACTCGGCCTGCATGCATGGATTGCTCTCTGCTCTCAACTGTGGTGGTGATGTGACCAGCTCCTTCAAGTTCTTGGCTTCCAGGCTAGGTTCGAACTTGGAATAGTAAGCAGAAATAAACCCCCTTCTCCTGTACGCTGCTTTTTGTCAGGGCGTCTATCACAGCAGCAGAAACGAAGCTAGAGCATCTCTCATCCATTCCCTGAAGGTCCCTGGGGCATTTTTGCATCTGTGCTCACCACTTCCCTGCATCCCCCAACCAGGCCCCGGGAGCAAATTCAGCTTCTGTTCCCAGGAGGGCCCTGGCCAGTAATGTGGCCTATTGGCACCAGCTCTATCCTCGCTGGCCTGCTTTCCACCTGGAGACCCGAGGATTCTCGCAATGCCACTCTTGCCGCAGAGACTCGGTGCTTTAAGGGCGATTCTGTTCCCTTTCGATCACTTGCAGTCTTCGGCTGTCACTGTGTAGTCCGTGGATTGTGCTTTAAGCCCGGTGATTGACGTTTTCATTGAGTCCTTTTCCTCACTCCTCCTGGGGAGGGAGGTGCAAGTGGCCCATTTGCAGAGGACAAAATCAGAGCCTGTGAAAACTGCCGTGACCCTGGCCTGTGCTCTCACCGTGGTCCCTACATCCCGAGCCCGAGTTCCAGGGTTTAGAATCTTTGCACATCTTCCCTCTGGGAAGCAGAATGTTCTGGTAGACACTTGATCCTGTCAGGTTCAGCTGTGGAGTCTGGAAGAGGGTGACTATTTTAGAGGAGGAACAGTACCCTTTGGGAAGTCCCCCCAGGCCATCGAGAGCCAGGGCACTTCACTGTCATGGGACACTCTCTCCTTGTTGGAGCCTGGAAGGAGCACCTGTGTCCAGGTGGCCTTGGTGTCCCACGTGACTGGGTGGCTTGAGTCCTGTCTATAGAGTCAACACTTCTTCACCACTCGGGGCGGTTACAGACAGTCCTTCTGTGAGCTGGGTCCTGGATATTCCTGTCTTGGCCTCTTATCTCTGCAAGGCCTGGGTCTGGTCATAGCCCCCAGGGCCTCAGTTCTGTACGGGGCTGTAATGTCACTGTCTGAACACCCTACTGAGGGTGCTTATCAGATATTCCCTCTGTGGTTGTCGGAAGCCTTCACTGGTCCCTCTCTTTCTCCCCTCCCCCATATACATCTAAGAGTCATGTTCTGTGCAGGGAGTTGGGGAGATAAATTCCGAATTGCCTGCTTATTAAGCACTTTGAGGGGGAATGAAGGGACTCTGAGGGCGGCTAGGGGAGGAGAGACGTTCAGATGGAGAGGCTACAGAGTGCAGACATTTGGGAGGATAGGTAGAAAGGGCCCCTTGAGAAGGGTGCTGGTGGGTGTGACCCCAGGTGGGAGGTCTTTGGCCCAGTAGCACCCAGGCATCCTTGGTCAGATCTTCACTTCCTGGCCTGAGCTGCCTGGCTGCCTCCTGGGTGCACGTGACACTGGGCAGATGGACCTCTTCCATCTCTTCCCTGGATGCTCACCAAGGTTAGGTTGCTAGTGTGGTTCTAAGAGTGGGCCTCAGGAACTGTGGGCTCCTGGACCTTTTCAGGGGTCCATGGAGTCAGGGCTATTTTTATGGTGTTACTGAAACTCAACTTTTCCACATGGCATGGGACATTGGGGGAGAGTTCACACAGAGGCAGATATGAGAATTCAGAAGCATCTATCTATTAATTCAGACACAGGTGACTTTGCAAAAGTTGAAAACTTTCTTTTAATTTGGAAAAGCTAACAATATTCATAAAATCTCCTGTTTATGTGACTATAGGGTTCTTATTCCTATTTTAAAAATGGATACTTGACTATTCTGCTCTCTTTTAAATACAGTCTTTCTATAGTGCGTGAGAAATGCGGTGAACACTGACAAATGGAATGCATCCAGACCCAGGTTCTTGACTCCTTTCTAACTGTGTGTTAAGAATCATGAAGCCAGGCTGGAGAGATGGCTCAGAGGATAAGAGCACTGACTGCTCTTCCCAGGGTCCTGAGTTCAATTCCCAGCAACCACATGGTGACTCACAACCATCTATAATGAGACCTGGTGTCCTCTTCTGGTACGTAGGGTATATGCAGGCAGAACACTGTATACATAATAAATGAATAAATCTTAAAAAAAAAAAAAAAAGAATCATGAGGCCAACAAGTTTGGGAGCCGTTGTTCTCTTGCAGGCCCTGTCTGGTTCCCAAGGGTTTGGGGATGAAATAAGCCAGCTCCTCTTTGAAAACTGAGT